ACAGAGTCGTTTTCCTTAGAATCAGTTCAAGAGCTGAGCCAAGACTGCACCATCTCATTTAAGCATACCACCCCTTCCGAATTTACTCTAGTTGTACAGCTGTCACTTTCCGATTTGTAGATAGTTTGATTTACCCTTTTTTACCGTTTAAACATATATTAAGCTTGTACAGTTAGTTTAAGCCTTTGATATATATACACCCTTTGAGGCATCGGAATCCCTTGCGAGTTTCAACCAATTTCTCCTCTCATACCTAATTTCACATAGGTCACCTTTCAAGTTTCTAGCTTAATTAGTTCATCTAAATGGTAGGGGGAAAGAGATAATTGAAGCACAATGAAAGGATCGGTTTAAACTATGATTAAATGGGTAGTATTTATATTTAGGTTTAATTAGAACAATTATAAAATCATTGTTGTAACCATTGAGGGCAATCTAGGAATAGCAGGGTAAATTTTGGGTATGGACGCAACAAGCTCGATCCGACTAGTTTGTTTATTGTTGGTTGAACCTAAACTCAAAAGTCAGGGTGTAACATAGATAAAACAACTTATCCATGAAATTTTCTAGTATAATTTATGTTGAAATTAAAGTTAACATTTTTTAAGATGGAGTATCAGGTTAATTGATAAACTCAAACGATCGTGGTAAGATGGTAAATTTTAAAATCATATCATAACTTGACTAATAATCTTATTATGCTTAGTATCAACAAATAGAATTTAGCCTATTGGTCAAATATGTAAGTCATAATAATTTTTTTTATAGGGAATGTAACTCATATCATAATTCATAACTTAGACTATTAATCTTATTATGTTTAGTATTAACAAATAGAATTTAGCCTATTGGTCAAATAGGTAACTCATATCATAATAATTATTTGGACTTATAGGTTGCAAATTGGAATCTTAGTGAGGATGATTATAAGCTTATTTATTTTTAACTTAGTGCAACGTAATAAACTATTTCAAAAATTAATGATTAAAATGATATGAAATTTTTTGGATCATACTAAATCTTATGTGGCAAAGATTACTCTAAAAGAGCCATAATATAAGTTATAGATAGATAGATTATAGATAAATATAGAGAGATTATTAAATAGAACAACTATCTCTAGTATTCCAACATGATTTTGTCATGTGCCTTATTTGCCTTTACCGTTAGAAACCCACTATTGAGAACCACTACCAATTTGTTCCGTTCCAATTGATGTTCTGTTTTGATATTAGTTAGAATTATCCCCTGTTTTATTCCTCGTTAGCTGAGAGTCGTTTTGTTCTTATATTGCTATTTAAGAGTGGTCATATGGAATAAAAGGGATATGAATTGTCAAGCACAAAAATCCACTTAAAGGAGGAAGGCTCCCTCAAAGCTAGCCAACCCTTTCCTTCCCTCCCTTCTCCACTACTCTTATTATGTATCCCTACTTCTCTATTCTTCTTCTTCTTCTTCTCCCTTTTCTATTTCTCATAAGAACCATTGCTCCCCGCCCAGACAAGGATTTTTTGCCCAGACCTTGACCCCAATCCCAATTCGAGCGGCTTCTCACTAAACGCTGGGCTCACGACCACCACATTTTGGTATCAGAGCCAGTTGATTCGAAACTCTCTACCGTCATGGAAGAGCGTGTGCAACTACTTGAAGCAGGCATGACCACCATGCTCAGGGAAATGCGAGAGAACTTTGCCGCTATGAGCACCCGGTTTGATCATCTAAGTCGAACGGCCGGAAGATGAAGTCATTGACGATGGGCGCGGCCAACACCGCCACAACGGCAACCAGAGGCCCCAACCCTCCGTCAAGATCGATATCCTCAAATTTAACTGCACGGATGACCCAACTATATGGATTTGTAGAGCGGAGCAATTCTTTGAATTTTATGAGACTCCTGAAGAGGAGAAGGTGTTGCTCGCCTCCATCGGGCTCGAAGGGGAAGCTCAACTATGATCGCAGATCTTGAAATAAGGGAATCTACGAGTGACCTGGGCTGATTTCAAACGCGATCTCCATGGTTTCTATGGGCCAACACAATTTGAGGATCATTTTGGGGAATTAACCAAGCTACGCCAACGACAATCGGTGCGCGAATACCAGACACAATTTGAGAATCTTCTAGTTCGTGCGAGCAATTTATCGCCAGCCCAACAAGTGAGTTGCTTTATAAGTGGGCTGAAGGACGAGATCCGAATGGATGTCACCGCCTGTATGCCGGCAACCTCACCGCCGCCATTGGACTGGCTCGATTGTACGAGCAGAAGGTGGCCTCGAAAGAGTCTGTCTATAAGCGAGTAGGTTCCTCGAGTGGAGGTGGAAATCCGGACCCCAAGCCCATTGAACGGAAATCCAGCTTCGTGCCCGGAGGACTTCCAATCAAGCGACTGAACCCAGCCGAGATTAAGGAACGTAGGGACAAGGGGTTGTGTTTTAATTGTGATGAGAAGTTTGGGCCGACGCATCACTGCAAGAGGTTGTTCTTCCTTGAAGGCACCTGGCCTGACAAGGATGGAGATGCATAGATGGAAACTGAAAACCCAGATGCGGTGGGAATATCTATGTATGCAATTACAGGGGCCAATGATGGAGAACCATGAAGATTTCAGGACAGGTTCGCCAACGCCCCGTACTGGTACTAATAGATAGCGGAGTCCCCACAATTTCTTGAGTATCAAAGCAGCCCAAAAACTTGGCCTGACCATTGAAGAAGAAGGAAAGCTTGAAGTATTTGTTGCAGATGGCAGCAAGATTCCGTGTATAGGAAAATGCCCTCGAGTCTAGGTTAAGTTTCCAGGGGTCTCTATTATAGTTGACTTCTATATCCTACCATTAGAAGGTTGTGGTGCCATGCTTGGAACACAATGGTTGCGATCCCTCGGTCCAATTACATGGGATTTCACCAAGAGGACAATGAAGTTTCAATGGCAAGGGCGCGAGATTGAATTGAAAGGAAGAACATCACTAAAGAACAAAGTAGTTGACCACACAACATGGATGAAAAAAGCATGAGGCAACAAGCAAGGCTTATTGATGGTAGCTGTAGCAGCCACAAACTCATCTGGGGAGTGCAAGGAAGACATGTCCTCCATAAGGCTAGAACCACTACTTTACCAATCTCGGGAGTTGTTCCAGCTGATTCGGACCCAAATGTACACATTTTACCCCTTATTCCTTATTTGGTTAGCTTAGTATTTCATCATTCCACGACATATTTCATGCTAGGTTGTGCTTATTTTGATACATTTCAGGTCCTAGCACGTGTAGAATGGTCGAGGACGAATTTTAGGAAAATTGGAAGTCAAAAAGTGCAAAAACCAAAGAAAAGTCCGAAGCGACCGTGACAATTGCCTCGTAACAGTGAAGTGAAGGTGTCCCAAGAAATAGTCGCAGTTCAAGGGAGGACAAGGCAGTTCACGGTCTCCTAAAACTGTGAACTTGGACCACAAACCTTGAACATCGAGCAGTCTAACGAGGTTCGTGAAGTTACTGACGACAAGGCATATCACGGTCTCTAAGACCGTGAACTGTGGCCATTGACTGTGAACCCAGGATAGTGAAGCGGTGTGTTTTGGACGATGCTGAGTTCACGGACGCGTTTAGGTGTTCACGGCCGTGAACTGGCCAACGCGTCCGTAAACTGGTCACTTTCGGGCAAATATGAAGACAGCAGCGGGGAGAGAGAGAGAGGAGAGTTGGTTTTTGGAGAAGACACACTTTCTTTCTCTAGGGTTTCAACCTAAACACCAAAGGGGAGTTCTAGTGAGAGAGAGAGAGAGAGAGAGAGAGAGAGAGAGAGAGAGAGAGTGCTAGAGTGATCTTGGAGCATCATTGGAGGCTTGGGTGGAAGATTCAAGCCTAGAAGAAGAAGATCTTGAGCTCAAATTTGTAATCCCTCTCTCTCTCTGTAGAAACTCACTCTTTTCTCTTGGGTGTTGTAAATCCCTAACTACTACTTTGTAATAACTTGTTTGGATTGAATGATTAAGTGTGAGTTTGCATCAAATTTTAGTATTAGAGGTGTTTTCATCATGATTGTGCATGCTTGTGCTTAGCAACCTAGGGGTTGTGAATGTTTTGTGCTTCGCACCCTTAGGTTTGTGCATGTAGGTGCTAGCAATCTAATTAGCCACCTTAGCCTAGCTTAGAGAGGAAAATCCCCCTTCCAAGGGAGACTCAATCGAGTTGGTTTTCCTTCCGCTTTCTATGACACCTAAACTAGGTTAAATTAGGGCAACCCTCAATATTGACTTAAGCAAATCGATTAATCGAGATTAAGTCGTCCGACCTTAGAGTTGAGTGAGGAAGTAAGTCAATTACCAATTGTCTAAACCGAGTGGGTCGAGTGACACGGCCTTTCATCCTTACCTCGGTTTAGCAATTGAGATTGTGGTCTCCGACCACATATGCATCCCTCTGCAGTTCGCGATTATCGTGCCCATCTAGGTTGGTTGTGATTAAGCCGCTTAAACTCCGGGTTTGAGGGAGAGACCTAGGAAACCACTAATGACTGAGTGAGAGGATCGATCACGTGACAAATCAACCTCAAATAAATCCATCCCGTGACAAAAGGATCACTAGTTGCTCCTCCTAGTGGTTCCCTTAGATCTGGTGAGTGGATCGATCCCGTGACAAATCGATCGCTAGTGAATTGATGTCGTGACAGATTGATCACTAGTTGCTCAACCCCATGGTTCACAACCACCTACGCCTCACGACTTCATTCAATCCAACGAGTCATGGTAGCTAGTTAGGGGGAATCAATTCCTAGGTGAAGCTCCCTTAGTTAGAATTTTCCTTTATTTACTTTTCTTTGCTTGGTTAGTCCGTAGTTCCAATAAACCTAAACCCTAAAGTTGCTTGCTAGATAACAACCTAAGCGATTGAAGTAGGGGTACATGGATTGGCCCGGGTTGACAATTTAAATACTTGCTCTATACTGCACCCGGCTAGAGTTTAAAAACTTGGACTCTAGTCGGGATCAATTTTTAGCGTAGTTTCGTGCGAGTCACCAGCCATCACAAGAACTTCCACCGCCACACTCACATGATCATTACATCCCTCTCAAAACCAGAAGCGAGCCAGTTTGTGTGCGACCCTACCGATACCCTGCATACCTGAAAGAAGAGATCGAGAAACTCATTGCTGAAATGCTGGCGGCAGGTATTATTCGAAATAGCCAAAGTCCCTACTCATCTCCAGTGTTGATGGTAAAAAAAAAAAAACAGGATGGAACATGGTGGATGTGCGGGACTACAAGGCCTTAAACCAGACGACCGTGAAGGATAAGTTTCATATTCCATTTATTGACGAACTGCTAGATGAGCTCCATGGTGCCCAAGTATTCTCCAAATTGGATCTCAGGTGTGGCTATTGGCATATCCTAGTGGCTCAAGAAGACATTCCCAAAACTGCATTCAAAACGCACCAAGGCCACTATGAGTTTTTGGTGATGCCCTTCGGTCTTTCCAATGCTCCCTCTACCTTCCAGTCACTCATGAACGAGGTATTCAAACCATTCTTAAGGAAGTTTGTGCTTGTATTTTTCGATGATATTCTGGTATATTCACCCACCATTGAAGAACACATGAAGCATCTTGAGGCTGTCTTCCAAACGCTGCGGGCACACCATTTATATGTGAAGAAGGAGAAGTGCAGCTTCCTTCAATCCAAAATCCATTATCTGGGCCACTTAATATCCCCTGATGGAGTAGCAGTAGACGAAGGGAAGATCCAAGCAATGTTGGAATGGCCCCAGCCTAAGATGCTTAAGGCCTTGAGGGGATTTTTGGGACTGACCGGTTATTATCGGAAGTTCATCCGTGACTATGGGAAGATTGCAGCACCTCTCACGGACATGCTGAAGAAGGACAACTTCAATTAGACGCCATCAAGTGCAACAACATTTCACCATCTCAAGGAAGCCATGACTACTGCCCCGGTACTTACTTTACCAAATTTCAACAGCCTTTTATTGTTGAATGTGATGCCTCGGGTGTTGGAGTCAGTGCGGTGTTGATTCAAAATCAGCGACCACTAGCTTCTTAGCCAAGCTCTACATGGGAGGAACCTCACAGCATCGACATATGAGAAGGAAATGCTAGCTTTGGTACTAGCAGTAAGGAAATGGAGATCTTACCTACTTGGGCGACGATTTATTGTGAGAACTAACCAGCGAAGCCTCCGGTACTTGTGGGAGCAACGTATCACAACGGCGGCTCAAGAGAAGTGGTTGTCAAAGCTGATGGGTTTTGATTTTGAAATCGAGTATAAGAAAGGTGCTGAAAATCGAGTGGCCGATCTCTCTCTCGTAGACATGAGGGTGAATTGATGGCAATTTCAACACCAGTAGCCAATTGGGCGGATACCATCCGAGAAGAAGTGCAACAAGGAGCCGAATACAAGAAACTCATAGACAAGCATATATCTACTTATGGGAATCCAACGTGGGAACTCAAGGATGTGCTCTTGTTTTATAAGAAGAAAATCTTTTTGGCTGCAACATCTTCTCTTGTGTCGGTGATTGTCTAGGAGATGCATTCAAGCACGTGTGAAGGGTTCCACAAAACCATCCAAAGAGTTCGAGTTGTCTTCTTCTGGAAGGGACTTCGTACCTCAGTTCGAGACTTCATTCGAAAATGCTCTATTTGTCAACAACAAAAGGCAGACACTACAAAACCAGCGGGGTACTTACAACTGTTGCCTATTCCTGAGGACGTGTGGCTGGACATATCAATGGATTTTGTTGGAGGACTTTCGAAAGTCCGAGGGATCTCGACGGTGATGATTGTGGTTGATCGATTGACGAAGTATGCACATTTTATCCCAGTCCATCATCCCTACACGGCTGCAACAATTGCTTCACTATTTTTCCAGCATGTCCTCAAACTTTATGCTATGCCGAAGAGTATTGTGTGTGATCGTGACCCAACCTTCACGAGATTATTCTGGAAGGAATTGTTCAAATTGCAGGAACCAACTTCAATTTCAGCTCAGACTGATGGTCAGACTGAAGCTGTCAACCGAACCATGGAAATGTATCTCAGGTGTTTTGTAGGACAAGAACCTCGAGAATGGCTCTGATGGCTGCCGTGGGCTGAGTACTGCTACAACACCAGCGTGCACAGCTCTACTAAGAAGACTCCCTGTGAATCACTATATGGAAAGCTTCCACCCACTATACTTTCGTATGTGTCGTGCACCGTTACTGTAGCTGCTGTTGATCAAGAGCTTCGTGATCGCGAAGCTGCTCTGCGGGAGTTGCGCCACAAATTGGGCGAGCTCGGGAGAGGATGAAGAAGTTCTATGATGCTGGTCATGTTGAGCGAAGTTTCAGAGTTGGGGATGCAGTTTTTGTCAAACTCCAGCCATATCACCAAGCAACGGTGGGAGGTCAAGCTAATCAGAAGCTGCGACCTCGATACTATGGGCCCTATACAGTAGTCGCCAAGATCGGCAAGGTTGCCTACAAGCTCGACCTGCCGAATGAGTCACAAATCCATCCCGTCTTCCACGTCTCCGCTTTAAAGGCCAAGATGGGAGACGACCAGTTGTCCGTACTGCCGTTGCCGACCGACGTTTGACCTTTGCGGACAAAGGTATTCTTGAGGGGGAAGGACTGTCACGTGCCTTATTTACCCTTACCGTTAGAAACCCACTATTGAGAACCACTACCAATTTGTTCCGTTCCGATTGTTGTTCTGTTTTGATATTAGTTAGAATTATCCCATGTTTTATGGCCTCGTTAGCTTATAGCTGTATTGTACTTCTGTTGCTATTTAAGAGTGGTCATATAGAATAAAAGGGATATGAATTGTCATGCACAGAAATCCACTTAAAAGAGAAAGGCTTCCTCCAAGCTAGCCAACTCTTTACTTCCCTCCCTTCTCCACTACTCTTTTGTTTCCCTACTTCTCTATTCTTCTTCTTCTCCCTTTTCTATTTCTCATCAGAACCATTGCTCCCTTCCGAGACAAGGATCTTTTGCCCATACATTAGCCCCAATCCCAATTCGAGCGGCTTCTCACTAGACGCTGGTCTCACGAGCACAACAGATTTTCATTTTTAGACTCAAATATCTCGTTATCAAAATTTCTCATCCGATTGAATATATATTATCAAGTAGAAACAACTATCGCTAACTGTGTATGGTGAATGATTACGTTGCGACGGCTTGAAGATGGAACCGAGGGAGGGTAGAAAAAAAAAAGGAACGATGGAAAGCCAAGAGGCCAATAGCGTTTGCCCAATTGGCACCCCAAACCTCACCGCATAATAAGCCCAATCGCGATTCGACGTTTTAACGCCGCGGGAAACACTCCGCCTCCCTCAAATGCGCGTAATAAGATTCCCTCTTTTCTCTTTCTCTCTGCCCTCTCTTTTTCTCTCCCTAGAATTCAGCTCCCATTTCAAACACCTTCGTTATCCCTTACCGGATTCTGTCCTCCATTGGATTTCATTTTCTTGTTTTGGTGCTCTTCAACGCGAACCAAATCAGGTGAGTTTTTCCCAGTTTTTGGAAATAGAAGGTGAAAGTAAAGAAATATTGACATTGAATCATCGGTATTGTGGGAATCGTATCCATCTTTCGGCTTTGGATTGTTTCGTCTTTGATTATTTGGCGAGGTTGGAAAATCAGGCGACCGTGGAGCTCGTTCCCGGGGCCAGCGATGGCGGCTTACGAGCACGAATCGGATGTAATTCAGTGGGGATTAAGCCTTTTGGAAGCGAGTCCACCCTATTATTCCGGGTACTATGGCGGCGATGTAATTCAAAACGACCATTCAACCTATCATCCTCAAAACCATCACGACGGCGGGCATTATGTTGCAGATCATTACGACATTACGGACAACACTCATGTAGAGAACGATGAGATCATCGCCCGCACCCTCCAGGAAGATTTCTCCCATCTCGCCGTCACCAACGAATCGTCTGGCTATTCCCACCAAGAAGAAGAAGAAGAAGAAGAAGAAGAAGAAGAAGAAGAAGAAGAAGAAGAAGAAGTACAACAAGACTATTATCGGCGCCCTTCCTATTATGCCGCCAACGGATGGCCTACTAATACCTCCGGTGAGTTTGGGAGGCCGGGTTCTGTGGCTTCTTCGTCGATATTGTTAATTTCAACTTCTCGGTTTTGGACTCCCCTGCAGGTAGCAATGAGGAATCTGATGATATGGGTTCGTCGAGTTCCTGCTCCAGCCCTAGCTATGAGGACGAACAATCTAATTCGTCGGAATTGACTGACGATTATGGATTGGATGATGAAGTGGGCAAGAAGTTGAATCAATTGATCCCTATCCGCGTGAGTCTAATTTCTTCTGCTTTGGTTTTAGTACGATCATCAGGTTATGATTTCTTCAGCGTTCAAATGCATATCCAATTTCCGGTTTGCTATTATTAGATTCTTAAGCTTTTCCTTTTAGATTATTGAAGCACGTTCTTTAACTTTGTGTGATTTAAGTGGTTGTTGCTTCGGGCCTTTCAAGAATCAACTCCTTACTAGTCCGTCTAGCTCTCAATAATTTCCTATAACAACCATAATCCTCAAGCTGAAGCCTTGGCTCCTCACCTTGGACAATTGTCAAGTTTACCATATACCGAGAGGTCATTATGCTACATGTTTACCTTTTAACTGTTTTTATTGGTACCCTCTCCTCTCCTCTCCAATCCGTTATTCGTTGAAAATTGTCCGTTTCAATAGATTCCAAAGTAAGATTTTATATGGGTTAGTTGGATATTGGCTCTACTGTTACTGCATACCCTAAAGGCAGAGTTGTTGTCGTTCGACCACCACACTACTGAGTCAAATTCTGTTTTACCTGCTGCCTAATCTGTCATCCTTCATTCCTTACAGCATGTTCCTAAAATCAACGGAGAAATACCTTCTCTTGATGAAGTAACCTCGGATCATGAAAGGCTTCTGAATAGGTATGTCATTTATCTACCTCTTCTTCAAGGTTAATCCCTCATTTAATAAGCCTCTAGGTTCTTATATCAATCATGGTAATCTCACTGGATTGGAGAATGCTAATTATTTGTAGACAGAGTTAACTTGATTGTTTATGTTGTTACATTTGTTTCAGATTGCAAGCATTTGGCTTTATTGAGGTTAAGGTTCAAGGAGATGGCAACTGTCAGGTTTCATGCCTTCTTTTCATTTTCACCATGTGTGTTCCATTCTGTGAGTTTTGCCTGGCAATCCCAGTTCGCTCATTTGGCACCTTTCCCAGTTTCGAGCTTTATCAGATCAATTGTGTGGGACACCAGATCGCCACAAAAGTGTTAGAAGAGAGATTGTAAACCAGGTTTGTTTTAGTTCTTCATTTTCATCAACAGCTGTTTCACACATTTGATTGATGGACTGAAAGTTTTGTTGTGGTTAACATATTTCTCTTGGATAATTGATTACAAATTATCAGCTAAAATCTAACCCAGAGATGTATGAAGGATATGTTCCCATGACGTATAGGGAATATTTGAAGAACATGTCCAGGTACAGGGAGAACTATTGCTTGGTGGTTTTGTAACTTGGTAGTTATGTTTTTTAGGGTAATAGCTGTTATCCTTTAATCCTCTCCCCATTTGGTCATGTTCCAGGTCTGGTGAATGGGGTGATCATGTCACGTTGCAGGCCGCAGCTGATTCTGTAAGACTTTTATGAGCTCGTCTCTGCTTTGAGAACATAGTGCTTTAGTGTTTGCTTTCCGTGTGTTGATAATTGCCAAGTATATCGATGCATATCATCTGTGTAAACTTTGTGCAGTATGGTGTAAGAGTACTTGTCATGACTTCATTCAAAGATACTTACTACATAGAGATTATTCCTCAAAAACAGAAGCCAAAAGGAGGTGATGATTGATTGATTCTATCAACCTATGTACATTGTCCTTTTGACATGAGGCCATACTCGAGTTCTTGGTATGCTGCATGCTTGATAGAACAGTTGTGGTATTGGTGCAGTGATCCTGTTGAGTTTCTGGGCAGAAGTACATTACAACTCAATCTACTTTCAGGGAGGTGAGTTTGTGTAAGCTTTTATTTAGCATCTCATAAGCTCAAGATGGTGGTAATAACTATAGCTTGATGAAGGCGTCTTTTGTTTCCTTTTGGTATTCAACGGTCTCTTTATTCAGATTCAGATACGGTCTCCCCAGAACCTAATAAGAAGAAGAAACGAAGGTGGATATTTGGCAAGAAACACTAGAGTAGACAGTAGCGGCGGCATTAAACAAAGATTACGGAATAACAAGAGCCTTTGCATGCTCTGGTACCAGAATATTCTTCAGTTACAGATAGTCTGTCTTCCCCTTTTGTATCCTTCAGTTCATTATTAGTGTGATATGGGCCTTCTTAATTCTTCTTCTTCTTCTTCTTCTTCTAAAGTGTCATCATGTCTAACGGGGCGGCTGCGTACTTTTCTGTTTCTTTTCCATGTAATAATCAATTAGAACAAAGAAAGTCAGGGGAGGGGAAACGAACAAACGACTAGCACAGAGCCACAGACAGGTAGTTCATAAATAATAATAATAATAATAATCATGTATGATCCTGCAAATGGTGGGTCCTACTTTCCAAAATCTTGGTACTCGAAGCTAACATGTTCCATTGAGTCGATGAACAGCCAGCGAGATCTCTAATTCTCCATCTCCCCTGTGGCTTTTCCATTCCTAGCATGAAAACTAAAAAGGATTTACAGACAGACAGACAGACATTAGGGAGAAGAGAAAAAGACCGCAGTTATGCCTCTTGTTCCTTGCTCTCTCCATGTCCATGGCCCTGTTCCTGCTGACGCCGTCCTTCACCGGGGGGCAGTGGCTGTAGCAAAAGAGCGGTGAAAGGCATGCTTCGGTACTCCAAGCCGAGACGGCAGCTAGGAGGCGGCGTGAAGACAGGGCAGGAGATGGACGGCGAAGAAGCGTTCACCGGGGCGGAGGAAGAGATGGGGGCGGCCGGTACAGTCCCGGTGCCGGTAGTGGCTATGATGGAGGGCTCGGCCTGGTGGAGCAGCCACTCAATGGTCTCGCCGTCGGAGCGGTGGCCGAGTTCTTTGGTTGGCTGGAAGATACGAGCAGCGCAGAGTGCCGGCAACCGCACCCGCCTTCCCCTGCCGTAGACCTTGCTGTGTCGGTCCCCGGATGAAGACCTTCGACGGGGGCGGCCAACTGCGACTTGAGATTCGGCGGGGGCTGGGGGGAGGGAATGCAAGTTGAGATTCTGGTGCTGCGGGTATTTCGCGGCGGCGCCGTTGTGGATAACGATATCAGAAGGAGAGGCCATGGTTAGGGTTGCTCTTTTTTCTCGCTGCGGCGGGGAAAGATCAGAGAGAGGAGAGCTGGGGAAGGGCAAGTGACCCTACAGCGCTAGGAGGGGTCCTTTTTAGCCTGCAGCTGGGGCCCCTTTATACGTGGATTATAGGCCTTTTTCCTCAAATACACATAAAATTAAGGGTAAATACAATTTAATATCCAAACCTGTCATTTTAAACAATATAATAGCCAAACCTTTTCGAAAACAATCTAATATCAAATCGTCAACTTTCCGTTCGTTTGATAGTTAGTTGACACTTCAAAAAAACTTTGTTTACGGAAAATTGTCACAATACAACTTTGTTTCTTGTTTTGGCATTGCAGATGACTGAATATTTAGATATTCTATACCATCATGGTGTAGTCATGGACTTCTCGGGTTTGGAACTACGATATGTTGGTGGTTTTTCAGAGAAGATATCGATGGATATTGATGAAGTGTCGTACTTCGAACTTTTTTGAAGTGTCAACTAACGGTCAAACAGACAGAAAGTTGACGATTTGGATATTAGATTGTTTTCGAAAAGATTTGGCTATTATATTGTTTAAAATAAAAGGTTTGGATATTAACTTGTATTTACCCTAAAATTAAAAACAATATATATCAAGAAGAAGAATAAATATTTAAAATATAATAATAAATATTTAAAATCAATATTAGAAGATCTATTTTAATCGTTAATCCAATTAGAAGTATTATTAAAAATGGGGTAATTGCATGGTTGGTCACTGAGATTACAAAAAGCGTTCATGTTTGGTCACTCTAAATATTTAAATCCATTTTTGGTCACTAACTTTACAAAAACCGTTCATTTATGGTCACTCTCCGTTAGCTGTCGTCCAACGCCGTTAACGGCGTCCGTTAAGTGATGATGTGGCTGACGGATTTGCCTAATCAGCACTTTTTAACCCCAAAATTGACTGACCCGACCCGCCACGTCATTTAAATCCTCCATGTTAGTTAAACCTAACCAAACCTCTAACCAAACCAGACTAGACCCGCTAACTAAAACAGAATTGACCCGACCCACCAATTAATCTACCCACCTTTGACTAAACCCTAATCGAAGACAAATCCATCCGCCTCCATCCCGCGCCACCTTCCTCCCTTCCGTTTTTCTTCCTCTCCAACTATGATCGCGAATTCCACCTTCCTCGGAGTATTTCCTCAACCAAACTATAGCATCCCTTCCTTTGCAGTAGCCCGACGCAGATCTCCCCATGGAGCCGGAAATCCAGTCCCTCACCTCCTTGTTCATCCTCTCCAGGCCGTAGTCCACATGTTGAGGCAACTATCCGCCGTGTACGAACACAGAATCGCCTGCGACAACTACAGTTAGATTGTTCGTCAAGAATTTGGTGGACACAGGGCCGTCGGGCCTCAGAGCAGCGATTCGAGCTCTAATTCCATTCAAAGCATCCGTTTTTATGCCGTGAAACGCTCTAGGGATGCCTTCGAATACGTCTTTAGGGTTTGGCAAGCCAGCGCAGAGAGTCTTCATCTTGTTCCCCATTTGGTACCAAAACGCCCAATCCTCAAACTCCTTGAACCCTAATCGAGTCGCGATTCCACATATATTCTAAAAATATTCCTATAATAAAAGTTGTAGTATTCGAAAAGTATGCGAAATGAAAAAAAATTGCTACGATCGGATAACCGAGCACAAAGTTAAGGTTGCTAGAAATTTCAAAGGAGTAGTTCGAGTTCACTAAATTCAAACCACTTCAGCCCCACATGGTTCGAGGCTTACATCATCGATCTCCGTCTAGATCGATTCTCCTACACTCGAACCAGTTAGTAGTTCGAGTTTCTCAAACTCGAATCACTCCAAACTTAGGCATTTTCAGAAAAAAAAATTTAATTGCGGTAGTTTAGGATTTTTTTTAAAAAAAATTTATGTATATTTAGGGAATTCTTCCGTGGTTTGTCTACTTAGCAGCAGCCATTTTCCATAGATTGGACTATGCTATTGGGTGGGCCCACCTCCCAAAGTCTCCGTGTTGTGGTTGTGGGCTCCACATCTCCCTTTACATGGGTGATGGGCCGAAGCCAAATTGTGGGTTCATTTTGTGTTGTGTGTCATGTTTTTGTACCTATGAAATAACTAGTTTATACCCGACCCGTTGGTCGGACGACTCTTTCGAATTATTTCAAACAAATGATTTGAGTTTGGTTGACTTATAACTGACGCTGGTCGGACGACCCTTTCAAATCATTCTGAGACAAATGATTTGAGTTTGGTCGCTAGAAATTCTATTATTTTTGCTGGAAAGCATAGAGGAAATCTAATAAATAGAAGGAGAAGTGTGAAAACAATTATATGTGTTCTTGATGTGCGGATAGTATGAAGATTAACAACATCCCTCTCTCAACATAATTTTTCTTCATCAAAAAAGTATGAAGATTAACAACACTATGCATTGCAATCATCCAACCCTCCGAGTTTTCTTTTGACGAACTTTGTAATTGGTGTGATAGAATGTATCTTCAATATTCACTAATTCACCATCAATAATGTCATCGGTTACTTACGGTGAAGTAAGAGGGGGGAATCTATGTTGTCATGGATTATGAAGAAAAATGAGCATTGACGAGATGACCTTGTAGTAACAAACATGTTAGCAAGAGTGAAACATTATGGGTGTGTTTGATTCTAAAGTTTGAGTGAAAATATAGAATGAACTCACTATATTATCTAGACAGTTGTCATTGTTGTTGTCAATGTCTTCTCTTTTTCTTCAATGATCCTCAATAAACAAAGTTTGCTTGCACTGTTGGAGTAATCGTAGTCAGTAAACTTGATATGCATATTTGATTCTTTACCTTCAAGCGCCAAAATTTCGGCAGGTGATGAGTTGTCTTTGTTTTGTCATAAAACTACAATGTCAATATGTTTAACAGTTTGGAGGGCACATGATGAGCAATACTAAATATGTTGCAGCAAAGTTATCAGTCATAGTAATGACAAAGCAAAACATGTGTAACAAACGGGCATATGAATTACTTGGATGGATTGACATCAGAATGATGGAGTTGAACAATGAGATCAACCTCAGTGTAATTTGGTTCGTTTGGTGCGGGGAACACCATATTTGAGTAATAAAAACTACAGAAAGTCAAACCATTGCAAATAATATCAACTACACATCCATATTTGTCTTCTATATAAGACATATGCATAGTCCTGCCAACCAGCCGTCAAACTCAAAACTAAAGCTAACATAGTTGAATAAACGCAACTTATAGTTCAAACGTGAGGTTGAACATCTAAGCTAATAAGCTGGAACCTACAACGATGTTGAAAAAGAAAGCATTTTATATGGGACTTCCATGTCCCGACTTGACACGAACTGACTCGCACGAAACTACACCACAATAAAACCCCAACCAGAGCCCAAGTTTTTAAACTCTAGTCAGGTGCAGTACAGGGCAAGTATTTAGATATCGAACCGGGCTGGTCCGTCTACCCTTACTTCGGTTGTTGAAACCATTATCTAGCTACAAAGTTTTGGTTTGAAAGTTTGCTAATTATAACAAAACGAAGCAAAGGTAAATAGTTTTGCAAACTCTTTTGTGGAAGGATCACTCGGGAATCGCTTCCCCTTAACTGCTACCATGATATGTGAATTGGAACGATTGCTTTGGGCACGATAATCACGAACCGTAGAGGGATGCATACATGGTCGGAGACCCCAATCTCAATTTCTAAACCGAGGTAAGAATGAGAGGCCGTGTCACTCGACCCTCTCGGTTTAGACAATCGGTAATTAACTTACTCCCTCACTCAACTCAAAGATCAGACGGTTTAACCGCAATTAACCGAGTTTGCTTCAGTCAACATTGAGGGTTGCCATAACTTAACCTAGTTAGGTGACTTAGAAAGCGGAACGAAACCAACTCGATTGAGTCTCACTTGAAAGGGGGATTTTCCCCTCTAAGCTAGACTAAGGTGGCTAATTAGATTGCCAGCACAATTATGCACAATCCTTAGGTTGCTAAGCACCTAAATGCATAAACCTAATGATGCTAAGCACAAAACATGCACAACCTCTAGGTTGCTAAGCACAAGCATGCACAATCATGATAAATAATGCCTCAATCATTGAATTGAACAATACCCAATGACAATCATTCACTACACATAAAAGAAAACTACATGGTAGAGTTAGGGTTTCACAACACCCAAGTGAATGGAGGTCTACTCCATGATAGAAATGGGGAAAACAAAAGGGAAAGAGGTGGAAACCATCATGTAGGATGCTCCCAGTCTTCTTGGACCTTGATTTGAGCTTTCCTTGGAGAAAATCTTCCCAAAATATTCCTTGAAGAAAAACCATAGCCTTCTTCTCCCTATGGTTCGTGTTTCTCTCTCTAGAATTCTGAAGAAGGCTTCTCTCACAAAATGGGCTCTCCCCTCTCTCCTCCTTTCAGCTCATCATTTAAACCAGAGACGAGCTGAGTTCACGGCCTGCTTTCATGGCCATGAACCACGAAACGCGTCCGTGAACTTCAGGCGTGCGCCAAAACGCGCCGCATCGTTTACTTCTGTTCACAGTCAACTGCCTTTGTTCACGGTCTTAGAGACCGTGAACTCACCATGCACCAGTAACCTTCAATTTGGCTCTGGAAGCCTCGCGATTCACGGTCAAGTGCTCTTCTTCACGGTCTTGCATGACCGTGAACTTCTTGGGAAAACCGTGAACTTGCCCTTTTTCACCTCTTCTCCCAGTTTTCGATCCTTTTCGCCCAACTTTCGACTCTGAAGCTGGTTTCACCTGTTAAATCTTGAAACGCACTAAAACACGAGGAACCTACGTAAAACCAACCTTTTAGGTGTGAAATTGGCACAAACACCTAAATAAAACAGGGGCAAAACATGTCCAGTTAGGCCCGAATCACTCACCCACACTTAGACGTTTGCTTGTCCCCAAGCAAACCATTTCACACAAGATAATATTTCAACCTACACAAACACTTTTGGGACGACTAAAAGGGCACGAAGCGGGAATTCTCAATGGTTATTGGCAATCAACACATGGAACGTTGCAAGCAATACCGACATCAACCACAAATGAGATTCGAAGCAACCAAAAACGGGCAAACGAAAAGTTCTCACCTTGTTCATGGATCAATGCAAGTCTCAACAAGACCACTTATCAACCACAACAAACCATGCATGGAATTCAAGTCCGAGGAACAGATGGAAAGGCAACAAAGGTCCTCACCGGGGTATGATATGACATGCAAAGCAAGAATGAATCACTCACTCTCAAGACGGTGCAAAAGATGTACACAATCATAAACTCTCGGCCCTCTCGTCTCAATACCACGGCGGTGACCTCTAGATGCTAGAGTTCACGGGATGATTGTCACCACTAGCTCGTCCGGAGGTCTTAGACACGAGTTCAGATAACTGGCAATTGTCTTGGATATGGGAAAAAGGCATTTTTGGGTGGTGGCAATCATGACGTGAGGTTCTACATCTTCAACCTAAACCCAAAGGTTCTATGGTTTCGACTAAAACCCTCTTTTCAACCCAAGGCCACTAGCATCGGCCAAAATCCTTATTTCTCTTTCCAAACTATCACCCATCATGAACTACATTGAAACGCTCTTCCTCGGTCTACCCTTGCTATCACATTAAGGTTTGGTAGTGAAGGAGTTCTAAAACAATGTGGGGTTTCGATGGCTTGGGTGCCAAGAAACCCCTTCTAGAGCATGTACTTTGGTTTTTTTTGTGGCACTCTCTACTTTATTTTCCCCATTTTATTACCTTTTTTTCGTTTCTCTTTTATTTTTTTCTTTTCTTTTCTTTTCTTTTCGAGGGGGGTACTAGAGAGTAACAACACTTGCCACCTATACTTTTAATGACCAATTCTCTCTTTTTGAGGAACTCACTCCAACACTACACTTCATTTTTCTCATCCCTAGCAAGGACCGCACCCGAACCTCCTATGTAGAACCTCTATGGAAACTCAAAGGCGAGAGCTCCGGGAGACAAGGACGACTCATGTTTAGACACGAAGAAAGGATTGGGGGTCGTTATATTAAAACCATTAAGCTCACCCGCACGAAGCTCCTAAATTGAGAACGAGCCTCGAAGTCACACGGCTCAAAGGGGTTGACTAAAGGATGACACATTTCGGGACAATCAACATTTGGGTGTGGACTAATCCTATGCCTCCATCATACTTACTAGTGGCAACTTGTGATGCTACACACCGTGGTAAGAGGGAACTATTACACCGGAAGAAAACGATCGGCTCAAAGCTCACAAGCTACCTAGTTACCCAACCATCTATTCCAATTCACAAACACGATGCATGGCAATTGTAAGCAACAAGTGATCAAGTCAAGACATCCATTCATTTATGCACACCCAAGAACTAAACTTTTTCCCTATCCTAATGAACTTTTCAGTCATCATCATAGGATATACTCGATCACATGCAACAAGTCAAGATCAATGCCAATAGAAACGAGAATTTCCCACCATCCGACCACTTTGCTCATGCAACCATTGCTTGGAGCCCTCAAATTTTTGAAATTTGGGCATTCAAAAGGCCCCAAGCATTAATCACACTCACACAAGCATACTAGTAAACTATCCCCCCCCCCCCCCACTTAAACTCGACATTACCCTCAATGGCGTAAGAAAGGGGTATAATGATGTTACCGCTTAAGCTTGGTGAGTGAAAGTTGGAATCGAACTGGGGTAGGATTATTGAGCTTCAAGGGGAGACAAAAAAACACACACAAACACAATACGACTCGCTTGAGGCGAGGTTATTACAGGCACAATACATAGTAGTAGTTTATATCACACACTCACACTAAATAAAGAAAAATAACAAAAACAAAAATAAAACGAGTTCTGGGTTATAAGTAGACAAGTGGGGCGAAAGGACTCTGCTCTACCACATGTCTTACTCATCGTCTACCTCTCTCCGGTGGAAGGACCCTCTTCAGCATCGAGTAGGATACCCTGGTGTCGAGCCATAAGCTCGAGGATGTCGGACTGCCGGTCGAGGCAGGATGAGAATCCCATGAGGCTCGTCTCTAGGCGAACTACCCTCTGGACGAGGGAATCACTTGCTGATGGTGGTGGTGGCTGTTATGCAGGGCGCTGGAGCGCTGGGCGGCGGCGGCGGCGGCCGGGTGCATGAGCAGGTGGCTGCTCGGCTGCTGGTGGGACCTCAGGGTCAGGCTCTACTGGAGTCAATGCTACTGCAGCTCGGATGACTCCGAAAGGTCAGAGTCCGTCAAGGTACTCCACTCCTCTCTCGCCCTGGAGTACCAGCTTCTGGTTATACAATGTCTCCACTAGGATGGGCTCCATCCTTCCAGCTCTGGTTGAGCGAGCCATATCCACCTGGAAGTGATGGGCGATCCTCGTGATGATGCCCCCCATATGCATAGTGTCCACTCTATTCCGCCCCAGGCACCGGTCGAAAGAGGTGGCGATCAACGATCCCAGATGGATTGGCTTTGCTGGACTCCTCATCGAGTAGAGGGCAATGAGCCCTCTGTTCGTCATCAAGTGGCCTGAATGTAGGCTGGGGACGACGAATCTGGTGAGCAGAGTGTGGAGGATCCTCCACTGGGTCTTCAGCTTCACCGCATTGGTGTGGCTCCCCTCGAACTCGTTTGGCTCGTGCTCTGGGCGGCAGAGGGCTCGGAATGTATCCTGATAGTTGAAGTCGTCTGTGTACTGCCACTCCATCATCGTCATATGGGTGGTGTCGAGCCCCATAGCCTGAGCAAAGCCATCATAGGTCAGCACTCGTGGCTGACCTCCCAGCATAAACTCCACCTGTGGCCGGCTCTTCTTGCCGGCCGAGACGATGTGTGAGAAGGTGGAGTAGAACTCCACGCACAGCTCGTGGAAGATCTCCTCGTCCATGGTCAAGAGCTAGTGCCACTGGGAATGGCAGAGCACCCCAGTCATGGCGGCTCGGCACCTGAACAAGTTAAACATGTCCAGGTCCAGCCGCCAGTGGGGCCCAATCGGGCTGCCACTCTGTAGGCAAACTTGTCACTAAACTCCAGGTGGTTCACCAAATAACTAATGAACTCATGCTCCAAGTTAACCATCCTGCACAAGTACAAACACACACAGTACGTGGAAACATTCGTCATATAATGCTCATTGGGAGGAAAAGAAATTCCCCCCACACTTGTGTTTCCACCATGGGTAAAGCATTTAAGCTCAAACCACCGTGGCATGGTTGTGGGTAATTCACGGTTCAAGCACACAAAAAGTTGAGCCACAACCCTTACCATGGTTGCTACCATCCACCAATCAAGAATAAACTCCACTTGCATTCATAACATAGCACTTAGTGGGAAAATTCTAAAAATAAACACAATTCAATTCAAACACGCCCACCAAGGCTCACTAAGCTCATGCAAAAATCAATCCATCATTCAATCGACCTAATTCACCTAATTCCTCGACCTAAATCTAGATTCAATCATGCAAAGCACAAAAATTCAACCTCACTTCTCTATCTAATTCGATCTCCACAATTCACAAAGGTAAAGTCGAAAAACAAACCTGGAGACTCAAGTAGGACGCAGGAGGAAGTGAGGTGCGGGCGAGGACGGTGAAAAATGGTCGGAAAACTAACCAAAAAGGGGTTGTCGGAGCTTCGTTGGAAGCTCGTCGGAAGCTCGTCGGAGACTCGCTGCCGGTGACTTAGCCGGAAAAAATGTGCTCCAAATCTCCCCAAAATCTCAACACAGACCAGTTTTGAGGAGAGTAGATTGGGCATGACGTTGGTTTTGGGTTTTGCTAGCCGGAAAAGGGGGAAAGATCGAAAAACCGATGGATTTTCGTGTTTTCTGGCGAAGATTTGAAATTTTCCGGCGATATTATGGTCGTGAAGTGAAGAGTCGCCGTTCACGCCCCTTCTATAGGCACGACTCAGAGTTCACGGACGCGTTGCCCAGTTCACGTCTTAGCGACCGTGAATTCTCAAACGCGTCCGTGAACATGGAGTGGTTGACAGGTGGTGAACATGCATCAGTACCTAGTTCACGGACGCGTTTGCATGTTCACCGTCTTATAAGACCGTGAACTCATCAATCCGTCCATGAACTACAGTGAACACAGGGCACTTCTGCTAAAATTTTGACTCAACCTATTCCTCTGTGCCTCCTAATCGATCACGACACAACCATAAACCACAAAACCACCAAACTTGGCGCGGGGACACCACTTCACCACTCGAACTCTTCACAAGACACTAAAACGAAAATTAAAGAAAAGAAAACAAACTTCCGTTGGGTTGCCTCCCAACAAGTGCTAATTTATCGTCATTAGCTTGACGGTTGGGTATCGATCACGACTTCAAACGTGATGCCACCGAGAGCGGATCCACCACACTCTCGGGGCAAGGCTTGTAGCCTCCCATCTTAGGCTCCTTGAGTTGGCCAACATTGCTTTGGCATTCCCCATCTTCTGGGTCAAAACTCCCTTCATCCTTCTCCTCCAAGCATTCATCCTTGATCTTTTGGGCTTAGGACCCTTCTAAACTTCCTGCTCAACATCACCAAAAGCAACACAAGTAATGGTGGGGTTTGCCTTGAGAGGCTCTCCTCCACTCTCATTCACATCATTTGAAACTACTCCTTTCACTTCATCACTCCTAACCCTCAGATAAATTTCAAGCTTCATTCTCTCCTTACCATCCCTCAAAATTAGGGTGCCCTCATTAACGTCTATCAATGCCTTGGAGGTTGCAAGAAAGGGACGACTGAGGATGAGGGGCATATCCGAGTCCTCACTTATGTCGAGAATCACGAAATCGGTCGGATAGCAAAACTTGCCCACTCTCACCATCATGTCCTCCACTATACCTCTCGAGCTAATTACTGAACGGTCGGCTAAGGTGATGCTAAACTTAGAGGTCTTCAGTTCACCTACTTCTAACTTTTTGAAAAGCTTGTAGTGCATCACATTAACACTAGCTCTTAGGTCTGCCAAGGAATTGTCTATATGATGGTTGCGAATATCAGGAGGGATAGTAAAGCTACCTGGGTCAGGCCGCTTTTTGGGCAAGCGATCGAGGAGGTAAGTCGAACACTCCTCGCTCAGAGTCACGTTGGCGAGGCCTTCAAGCCTTGGCTTCTTGATGAGGAATCCTTTGAGGTACTTGGCATATCTTGGCATTTAAGCCATGGCTTCGAGGAACGGGATGTTGAGGTGGAGGTTGCGGAGCATTTCCATGAAACCTCCATATTCGTTCTCCAACCTCTCTTTGTACATTCTTGTGGGATAAGGAAGAGGTGGTGTGTATCCATCCACCGGCAAAGCCTTCCTTGCCGCCTTCCTCTCATTCCTCGAGGGCTTCCCTTCTCCCTTCTTTGGGTTGGTCACTTTCTTGTTTGTATCTTCCTTCTCCATCACATCATTAGTGGCGACTTCCGGAACCACCTACACACTTCTCACTTGAAGCGCATTTACCCCGGCATGGTCCTTGGGGTTCACCACAGTTTGGGAAGGTAAAGCTCCCTTGGGTCTCTCGGTGAGGATGTCGGCAAGGTTGCTGATTTGCACCTCCAAGCTTTGAAGGCTCGCTTGATGACTTCGGAGACCCGCCTCAACCAAGGTAAACTTGGTAGTCGCCACATCCAATGCAGTCAAAATCAGGATTTTGATCGTAAAATCGTAGGATTTTAGGATTTTACTTAGGGATTCCGATCCTGATTTTACTATAAAATCGGTGGACCTTAAAATCGTTTAAAATCGGGATTAAAATCGTTAAAATCGTACCAAAATCGGGATTTTGATCGTATGAGAACAAAATAGGTGGTTTGAGCCAATTTAAAAGAAGCATAACTGTTTCAGCGCAAAGGACAATGGCATGAATCTTCTCACATGTTTTTCTTTTAGAAAAACATTTAAAAATAATAAAAATAACCAAATTAGAGCTCGGTTAATCCATTTCCCTTCGTCCCATTTAACTTATTGGTAAAACAATTGTCCTAATATTGGAAGTATGTAAGAATTGACATTATTATAAACTAATTTATTTATTAATGAATATATTTATACCAAGCCACTAGCATTACTTATTTTATTGGAGTTCAATTATTTTTAGTTTTAAATAATACTTAGTAGACGATGTCGGAATATTATTTTGAGTTAAACTACTAGACACAACATGAAAACAAGAGGGAAACCCCATGAGTTCTATCCCTTCACATGAATTATTTTGAGTGACGCATTAAATAACAATTAAAATAGTAATTTTGGAACATTAATCTTGAGAATTATCATTTTAAATGTTCTGTGTCTTTGTGTTATTAATAATTTACCTCACTAATTATTCTTATATGTTATGTTCTATATGGTACTTAAAATCCTACGATTTTACGATTCGATTTTACGATTCCGATTTTATCCCAGTTTTTCGATTTTAGGTAAAATCTCGATTTTAAGTGCTTTGGCCACATCCATATATTTCTATATCTTCTCGAACTTTTGGCTACTCGTACTCACAAAGGTGTTCACTAGGTCCTCAAGCTTAGATAGCTTGTCTGGTTGTTGTTGTTGTTGAAACCCTAGGGCACCTTGTGATTGGTACGGTTGTTTGAAGCTTGAGCCTTGGAGTTGGGGCCTTTGTTGGATGAAGGTCGGCCGAGGTTGGAAATTTCCCGTGGGGCCTTGGAAACCCAGGGGCCTCGGATTTGTTGGTGATGCCCAAGCAAAGTTGGGGTGGTTCCTCCATCCGGGGTTATAAATATTGCTATACGGGTTGTTGACCCTAGCATTTGTCACAAAGTTGACATGTTCCTCCAGAGTGGTTGCCTCCTTCATTGCTTGACATTCCGCCATTTCATGACTGGTGCTCGAGCACCAGTCACACGACATCACCGGCCTTTTTCCTTGCCTCTTATCTTCAAGCATAACCTCAAGCAACTTATCCAACTTCGCCTCAAGCGGAGCACTCGCTCCCACGCTTCTCACTCCCATATCATTACTTCTTCTTCCACTTCTAGTCAACCCCCAATCGTATCCCCTAAGGTCCATGTCTTCAAGTATCTCGATTATTTGGGGTGGAGCCATATTCATCAATTTCCCGTGACACAAGGAGTCAATGAGAATTTTATCCTCTTGCATTAGGCCTCCGTAGAAAGTTTCGATCCGAAACTGTTCTTCACACCCATGGTGAGGGCACTGAAGAAAGTAATCGGAGTATCTCTACCAAGCATCCCTCAAGGTCTTGTCCTCTTCTTGCTCGAAATGTGTAATCTTCTTTCTCCACTCTGCCGTCTTCGAAGGCGGGCAATAACGAGCCATAAACTTGTTGAGGAGGTCGTCCCATGAGGTGATAGTCCGAGGTGGGCAGTTGTTTAGCCACCTAAGTGCCTTCCCCGAGAGTGAGTATGGGAAAAGTCTTAGTTGCAAAGCTTTGGCTAGCACACCATTAATTTTCAAACTCCCCGCGAGCTCCAAGAATCTCTGCACGTGCTCTCTTGGTGACTCGCTCTCAAGGCCGTGGAATAGAGCATTACTTTGTATCATAGTTACTAGAGCTGGCTTGATGTCGAAATTGTTTGCCACCACTGGAGGATGTAGGATTGGCGATTGGATGTCCGCCAGCCTTAGGGCCATATAGTACCCCATCGTCCTCGGGGCATCCTAGTCCTCCGCCGTATCGTTCAACTGGCGGGCTTGAGCGCCATCTTGCCTTTGGTTCCCCGCTTCCACTTCTATGACGGGTTCAACTTCCACTTCTTCAACTACTTCTCCACTAACACCGGGACCCAAACATTGTTCCCCTCTTTCACTTCTTCTCCTTGCCTCCGCTAACTCCCTCTCCCGTGCTAGGAGCTGGAGTTACTCCGGCTCATGCACCACCAACACACAATCGGAAAACATACTAAGTCTAGCACAAGCAAAGCACACACACATGCAAAACTGGAAATTAAAAGCTAGATTAACAACCAACAACTTTTTCAAGATAACAGACCGTTGGTCCCCGGCAACGGCGCCAAAAACTTGACTCGCACGAAACTACACCACAATAACACCCCAACTAGAGCCCAAGTTTTTAAACTCTAGTCGGGTGCTGTATAGGGCAAGTATTTAGATATCGACACGGTCAGTCCGTCTACACCTACTTCGGTTGTTGAAACCATTATCTAGCTACAAAGTTTTGGTTTGAAAGTTTGCTAATTATAACAAAATGAAGCAAAAAACTCTTTTGTGGAAGGATCTCTCAGGTCTCGCTTCCCCCCAACAGCTACCATGATATGTGAATTGGAACGATTGCTTTGAGCATGGTAATCGCGAACCGCAGAGGGATGCATACATGGTCGGAGACCATAATCTCAATTGCTAAACCGAGGTAAGAATGAAAGGCCGTGTCACTCGACCCTCTCGGTTTAGACAATCGGTAATTGACTTACTCCCTCACTCAACTCAAAGGTCGGACGGTTTAACCGCAATTAACCGATTTGCTTAAGTCAAAATTGAGTGTTTCCCTAACTTAACCTAGTTAGGTGGCTTAGAAAGCGGAAGGAAAACCAACTCGATTCAGTCTCCCTTGGAAGGGGGATTTTCCTCTCAAAGCTAGGCTAAGGTGGGTAATTAGATTGCGAGCACCAACATGCACAAACCTAGGGGTTCTAAGCACAATTATGAACAATCCTTAGGTTGCTAAGCACCTAAATCCACAAACCTAAGGATGCTAAGCACAAAACATGCACAACCCCTAGGTTGCTAAGCACAAGCATGCACAATCATGATAAATAATGCCTCAATCATTAAATTGAACAATACCCAATGACAATCATCCAATACACATAAAAGAAAACTACATGGTAGAGTTAGGGTTTCACAACACCCAAGTGAAAGGAGGTCTACTCCATGCTAGAAGTGGGGAAAACAAAAGGGAAAGAGGTGGAAACCATCTTGGAGGATGCTCCAAGTCTTCTTGGCCCTTGAGTTGAGCTTTCCTTGGAGGAAATCTTCCCAAAATCTGTCTTGAAGCAAAACCCTAGCCTTCTTCTCCCTTTGGTTCGTGTTTCTCTCTCTAGAATTCTGAAGAAGGCTTCTCTCACAAAATAGGCTCCCCCTCTCTCCTTCTTTCAGCTCATCATTTAAACCAGATACGAGCTGAGTTCACGGCCGTTAACCACAAAACGCGTCCGTGAACTTCAGGCGTGCGCTAAAACGCGTCGCATCGTTCACTTCTGTTCACGGTCTTAGAGACCGTGAACTCACCATGCATCAGTAACCTTCATTTTGGCTCTGGACGCCTCGCGATTCACGGTCAAGTGCTCTTCTTCACGGTCTTGCATGACCGTGAACTTCCTGGGAAAACCGTGACCTGGCCCTTTTTCACCTCTTATCCCGGTTTTTGATCCTTTTCGCCCAACTTTCGACTCCGATGCTAGTTTCACCTGTTAAATCCTGAAACACACTAAAACACGAGGAACCTAGCGTAAAACCAACCTTTTAGGAGTGAAATTGGCTCAAACACCTAAGTAAAATGGGGGCAAAACATGTACAATTAGGCCTGAATCACGAACTTAACATAGGTGCTTTATATTTGGTGAGGCCGAACAACTTAGTTGCTGCGCTGTACCTCTGTGTAATGTAACATCGTAAGCCTATTGTCATATTGAGAAAATTAAAATGAAAGTTGGAGTGAAGGAGGTGAAAAAAAGATATATAGATTTATCAGTGTGACAGCCAATTAACAACTCTATGCTCAACTGAATCCTAAGGCTGCCTACTTATATATATATTTATAATTTCTCACAAAAGCACCATCATAATTTCATGATTGACTCATACCAACATTATTAATAAGAGGAGAACCACATTAAAGCAGTAACTTTCATTCTCAATGTCTATGAGGAGCACATATATTTTCTGTTTTTCACATACTGTGGTGAAGTGGTTTTACAATTTCCACAACAGGCAAAACTTGTACCTGCAAGAGTATAATGCGAAAATATTGAGTGCTTGAGGCCAACATGGGTGCGATGGGTATATGAAACGACACTCTTCTTTTAGTTCGAATCCAATACTGCCAATCACACCCATGTTCATATATCAATCCACAATACCTAAAGGAAAAGTAACTCGATGCCACAATCCGATCGACTCGTGACCCAATTGGCCCACAACCCTCCCAACCCATGATCCAATTGACCACAACCTGATGAACTCGCAACCCTACTAACCGGAACCCGATAAACCCACACCACGACTAACCCGCAACTCGATTGAAACTAGCCCTAACTTGTCCGTCTATTTATGAGATATATAAAAAATTTAATCAAGTATTAAACTACAATGAAAATAAACAAAATTTCAAAATTGAACTATCAAAACAGAAATAAGTACTTACTAATATTTATTGGGTTGACTAACTGTTCAAAAGTTATGTGATTTTCATATTTTACCTCATGTATATTTTTAATTTAAAAAGATACAACAAATCTACATGGGCACCTTGACTTTGTTTGAAGTGACCACGGTTCATATCCCAATATGTCTCTTTTTTTTATACATAAATAATAAGATAGGTAATTGTTCAGACATAATTGTCCTTCCTAGTTTTGCTCTCGTTGCAGAAAATCTGAAATGGGATGTCAAGTTTTCCCTTGTAGCTTTAAATATATGTGCTTATTACCAGTCCCCTCGGCCAAACGTAGTTTCGGTAATTGGTACTATGATTCTTACTTATATTACCCATTAGCATGTCTGTGGCGATGGTTGGAAGTAGGTCAACAACACTATAATAATATGATGAAAAATCATTATCCCATTGCATTACCAAAAAAAAAAAAAAAAAGTAAAACATAAACACTATAATGGACAATCCAAACCAAGTGATTAGCCCTAAATCTAGCCACTATTTGCCAAGCACCTTGATGCCCCTAGAGTGAACATGAAAAAACCAAATGAATGCTTACCTGACTCCAATTCCTGATGGTGAAAATGGAAGCCACCAAGAGATTTCATAAAGAAAATTTAATCTAGATTGCCCTTGGACCAAAAACCACAGTGACACAAAAAGCGATGAATCCCCGGCTGAGAAAACCAAAACCAGCAATGCCCAAATTAAGTCGATGGAATGCACCGATTAAGTTTGTCCTGATAAATAGTTTGGTTATTTAAAATGACAGAAAAAGAAAATAAATACAAAGCATTGAATCTATTGTAGAAATCTCATATACAAACAAAAGAAACAGAAAAGCAACATATGCATGGAAACACCAACCATATAACAACTTTTGTCGATACCCCTACCACTGTGAAATCCTGCCAAATCACTCTCAATCACTCTGCTACACTAAACACACAAATTACTTACATCTCTGTACTTTCTATCTCTTCAATCTATATAAGTCAATCGTTATGTAACCTCTCCGTTATGATGATTTTTATCTTTCTCGACAGCAAACACATTGATTGGTCCTCTCTTACTACTTCTTCTTGGCAGCTACATGACATTTTGCATCAGTGCAAATTAATCCAAACAACCATTCATTGGCGCAACTAATGTAGATTCTCTTTTCTCCTCGGTGACTTCGTCAAACACGTTCTATATGATGATCATAGTATAGTATTTTGTATAAACTTTTCTACCATACCAATTTTTGCATTGCAACACCAAGAGCTAACTTGGTTGGGGCTCTCCTCTACGTTAACATCTTGTATCAACATCAGCAAGACAAAAAATTTATTTGGTCGAGATACTATCAAAATCTTGTTCTGCACTGAAGAAGCTTAGATCGTTTCTTAGGCCTCGTCAACCCCCAAGCAATTTGACGTGGGTCATTGCTCTCTTACCATCTAAACTAAAGAAGAATCTCAGGTTACTCCATTTATATCTTAACTTGACATTTTTTAGAAAGGAGATACAATCACGATTCATAATTCCAGAACAACCACCTCAGATAATACAATCTTATGGAAACAACACCGATGAACCACCCAAATTACAATTCTGTACATATTTTTGATAACGATGTAATTGCACATGTTTGCACCCCTAGTTCTTATCCGTTTGTAGGGCATAGTCGTGTATTTTTGGCCTATTTTACGCCGGGTTGTGCTACTTTGTCATATTTCAGGTCCCAGACGTCGAAGGAAAGGCTAAGCACGAGTTTCGGGGCATTCGGAAGTCATTCGGTCAAGCTGGAGCCAAAGCACGGGCGCGCCTAAATCAAAGCACGACCATGTTCCTTGACCTTGTTTTTACTGCCGAGGCTTCATCCACGTTTGTCCTGCACTGGCCCAAAACACGGGCGGGGCTAACCCAAAACACGGCCGTGTCCAACATTAGGCACGACCGTGTTTTCCCCAAAATCTGGCCATGTTTTTAACACGTGGCAAAGGGCACGGGCGGGTTGGAGCAAAGCACGGCCGTGCGCTGGACCGTGTTTTGCCCAGTGATGCCCTTTTAGGCAGATTTCAGCCAAAAGAGAAGTGGATTTGAGTTTTAGAGAGACAAAGCGATTCCTAGAGAGAGAAAGCGACGAACAAGAGTTCCCAAGTGCCCTAGCTTGATCTTCATCACCATTGGAGCCCGGCTTGAGCTTGGAGAAGTGCTGATCGACAACCAGGAGCAGAAATCCATCCTTCACAGTATGGTTTCTGCATCTGAATCTGCTTTTGCTTCTTTCTCCGCGGAGTAGTTCTCCCATTCATCTGGGTATGGAGAACCCTAGATTTGTATGTTAGGTCTGATTGTATTAACCCAAATACAGATTCTATGATTTGTTTATATTCAATTGAGGTTTGAATGATTGAATGGCATGAATCCTGATCAAATTCCTGTTGTTTCTGCTTTAACCTAGAAAGAGAATATCTGCCTAGGTTGATAGAGCACCCTTAATTGAAGGTACTTCGATAGAGGAGGTTTTGTCGAGCACCCTTAATTGGCGACTTTAGTCGAGGAGCCAATTCACTATTCTGTACCGAAGTTACTTCGATAGAGGAGGTTTTGTTCGTTAGGGCCTCAATCTGTTTACTCCGGTGGAGGTTAGTCGCCCGTTAGAGACTCAGATTGAGAGGGTCTGGAGACCTTTAGTCGAGACTTCAGACTGTTTAAGAACCTTCCGCAGTATGACTATCATAGAAACTGAACTTGGTAATTACAATCCGGCTTAACTGCAGTCTAGGGGGAACCATATCCGGGTGACCTCTCTCGACTTGAAACAACCGTTTAACTTGCTTTGTGTTTTTGCTTGTTTGAACCTGCACTTAAGTTTCACCGCTAGATAATAAGAATTACTGAGTAGTCATCATATCTAGGACCCGTGTTGACATTAAAACCCAAACCCGCTATACTACGCTTTAGGAAGTGGTTACACTTGGCCATTTTCTAGAGTGGCAGTAGGAGTGAGTCAATTTCCTATGAGGGTATGCATATGCAAATTAAGAGTTTGTCCAATCGGTCAGGCCTAGGCATGTGTATATTTCAACATTATACTACAAACATAAAGAGTTCGATCGGTTTGTCCTTCCTATGTCAACATATGCTCACCATGTATTTATTCCTTGTAGAGAGAAGAATATCAAAGCACCTTGTATCTGCTCCAATTATGGATATCACTCGTTCTTTTTATATTGTAATTATTAGAACTCCACTTTTAAATCTGGAAGCAAGTGACCACTATCACGAAACATCATATTGAAAAAACTTATTTGCAATCATGAGGTTATTTCAGTCAAAAGAAACCATGTTCTATTTGTTGAAGATCAGCATTATAGTCTTAATAATTCAATTCGGCAATTATCTCAGCTTTTACGTATAAAATCTATGTAAAAGTGGTATATGATTGAAGTTATTCCCTATGTTAACACTAAACAAAATAATCTTTGTTTACTAGAAACTAACAATAAAAACCTTCAAATTAGGAAAATGATGATACTGAAAAGGAGTATCATAACAAAAGCAACAAAAAGTATAGCCATATATCTTTAATCAACTCAAAAGTCAATCTAGAAGATCAACCAAATGAACTTATGGTTAAAAGATCACACATTACTGTCAAAGAAACTATATAACCCACCAATCAACTCTCCAAGCAGAACACTCAACCTTCCATATTTACCCCTCCGAAAATTGCTTTGCCGTAACAATAAAGGTGGAGGAGCTTAAGTTATTCTCGAGTCTGGAGAGACGGTGATGGTTGAGTACTGTTTAGTGGGTCGAGACACTATTTAGATCTGTTTACATTAGTTTGCGTCTTTTACTTCCACGTTCGATAAACCAACGTCACTAAACCTTTCCATATTTACCCCCTCTCTTAAAGAACGTGCCACATATTCACTCAAAACTTTTGTGTTAAAAATATTGTTGTTTTATGGTAGTTATAAAATTTGAATCTAAATTAAGATTCTTCATTGCTTCTATACATTCAATAATGCAATTGGATATGCAATATTTTCACCAATGACATTAGGGTTGCGATTTTAAAATTATTCTCCTTTTATAAGATAATTAGAAATATAATTAATTATTAAACTCAAATTAAAATAATCAAAATATGAAAATAGAAGTATAAAATACCAAAAAAAATATTTATGGCAGAGTAAGTGAGTTAGCTAACCATGGTGAAAAATTCCTATAATTTTTCAGATTTAAGTTTCCTGTATGTTCTTAATTTAAAAAGATGAATTTTTTAGTGTCACTGATTATGTTTCTTGTATTTCTTCAAAAAGACCACAGTTTAAATCCCATCAATGATGTATTTTTTCTTGTAAATAAGAAAATAATAAATGTTTATGAAGACGAATCTTCCCTTCCTACTTTCGCTATGAATGCAAGGATTTTGTAATGGGGAAATCTCATTTTCCATTTCACTATTATATTAGGTGTAGCGAAAATAAGCGCGGTGGTTGAGCGTTTAGTCGATTTGAGCCCATTTACATTAGTAGAAATAGAATGTTCAGACCACCGAACTCGCCCAAGAGCGAAAATCAAACCCCAGAACACAAGCAGGAAACAAAGACAATGCTTTTTAGCCACCAAATGGGCCACCTGATTACGCTCTCTACCAACAAAACACATATTAAACAAATGAAACGCTCGCTTAAGTTTCACTACTTGAGAAGTCCATATAATTAAACATTATAGTTGGACAATATAGGAAGAACAGGTGAATTCCCAAATGACCCTCATGTCACGGATATAACCAGCAACAATCTAGTAATTTCCCTACAATGAAACAACATTTTAAATGAAATAAGTTAAACTAATAGAAGTGTATGATTAGTATAAAGATTCGAAAATAGGGCAATAAAGAAACTTACATTGACAAATGTCTTACCATGATTGGAGGACTTAATCAAAATGTAGTTAGGCCTACAATTAACCCATTTGTGCTTGTTCATTGACAACTTCGTAGGAGACATCTTCAATGGTGTTTTTCACAATTCGTAGTCTAGCATAAGGAATGACATATAACAAAGTTATTTTTTTTAAATGGGCAAATACCAGTACAACACCCGAATTATCAAGAAAATATCACTTATGTTCTATTTTATTCAATATTCCAATTATATCCCATTGTATGATAGTTTTTTGTTTTTTATATAATTTCACTTTTGTTGACTGTTATCTTTAACGGTTGGCCTAACGGTGGTCAAAAAATTTGTTGACTTTCGCTGACGTGACAAAAAATTGACAACCATGTAGATGCCATCACTAAGACATAATTTTTAAATTTAAAATGAATTTTTAATCAATAAAAACAAAAGTAAAAAAAGGAAAATAATCCTCAATTACCAAAAAAGAAGAAGAACAAAAATTATTTGTTCCTTTGCATTCCTTCTCTTTCCTTTCCTTCTCTCAACCAAAAGCGCCGGCCTCCACGGCTCCACCCACCGCAGCCACCGAAGACGACCCCTTCCACTTTTGGAATTTGTTCGTCTCTCCCCCTCCGTTGTAACGTCGCCAAGAGCATCCCCTGATCCCCGCATCTCAAACCTTCCAGCTGCCGAGACCGTACATCACTCTCCCCCATCTCCTTCTTCTCTTGACCTTCCCTCGCCATCCACCAGTCCGACGAAATCTCCGAGATAAAATCAAATCCAATAAGCAAAGCAAACGGTGGAAAATCAAATGAAAGAACAAAGATTTGGAAATTGAATTCCATTTTGTCGATTTGCGACATCAATCGAATCCAATAGATGTTCCAATCTTCATAAACGAAGTTGGGGCTGGGATGTGTTGTAGATTTGGATTTTGCAGCATACTTGTATGAAATTTGGAACGAACGGCGACTATGACACCTTCGTTTCCCCCTGATGCAAGAGGCTCGAGAAGTAGATTTTGGTGACTCTGATCTTTTGCTCTGCTTTGAAAATAGAACGGGTTGTTGCAATAGCAACGAAGATGCAACAAGGTGGTCTCTAGCGGTCACGACAACTCAGATAGACCTAATCAACTTCGGACCCTTGCAATCGCTGCTCCAGCCCACCAACCCCAAGTTCCCCGCACTGACCTGGCCCCTAGCCTCGACATTCATATCAGAATCCTACCCGGTAACCCCAATCTTAGCTCCGGTGGCCAAGAAACTTCTGGTGATGGTGATGATGTCGCTGTTGAGGGGTTTGTTCAACGATGACCTAGGGAAGGTGGAAGTCTTCATCGAGGAGGCGGAGTCCGTGGAAGGAGGATTGAGGCGGGAATTGGGGGAAGACTTGGGCCTACGCCGTTTGGAGAGTGACTCGAAGGCAGCTAAAGAAGCAAATGAGAAAGGAAAACGTCTTCTGTAAATCGATTTTGGTTCACTGATGGTGGCGAGGGAGAAGAAATTAGAAGAATGTTTAGTTTTTTATTTTCAATTTTTTTAATTATTTTGTAAAATATAAATTGGATTTAAAATTCCACGTCAGATGTCACATCAATGCTTACTAGACTTTCTGTCAAATACTATCAGTCAAAGTCGGTCAAGACTAATAGAAAAATAGTTCAGGACAGAAATGGAATATTGAAAAGATTAGGACGCAATTGACATTTTGTTCATAGTTCGGGTATTGTAGTGGTATTAGCCTCTTTTTAAATCTATCAGCGAGTATATAAATACTTTGCGTAATGAAATTCACCTACGGGTTTAGCAATGGGTGTACCAAAGGTTGATTCAAGTTGGAAAAATTACTTGGATGTCGAGTTTGTAGCGAAATAGTACTTTCCTACTAATGATGAAGCAATTTAGTGATTGGATGATGTTCTTATAAAAGAGAAATGATAATTAACTTATATAACAAATAAATGAACCCCTACAACAAGCATACCTCTTGTTTTCTCCACATATACTGAAAAAAGTACACATACCACTGTTGATTAAATTTGATTAGGTAGGACTAGGCCCGTCCCCTTGGATGAGAAAGTTTAGACAAAAATATGCACATATAACATGCTTACAATATAATAAGAAGATAAGAAATACGATTGGAGAAAGAAATACAATTGTTCAAAGAAGAAAAGGAAAACATACACATAACATAAAAGAAATACAATAGGTTATCAATACTTCAGCAGGGCATATAGTTCAATATTAGAGTTGCTTCCCCTAAAACATACATAATGAACCCTTAGGAAGAAAGAAAAAGATTGGTCCCTGATAGAGTTTAGTATCTTTCTATAGTGTTTATCCCAGTAAACATTAGTGTAACATCCCAAACCGTAAATTTAAAAAAAAATGTAATTTCTTCTACAATAACCATGCATAAATTTTTTATCAAGATTCTATGTTGTAAAAATGTAACGGGAAACAATTAAATAAATGAGGACAACAAGATTTGAACAAGCAACCTCTTGCTAAGAGATAGATTTAGAAGCCTAACCGCTAAACTGCAACTTGTAATTGTGTTATAGATGTGTAGCAGCTGTTAATAATTGTCTGTTATGCCTCGATTTGGTGTTGTCGTGCAGGAGAGGTCGAAAATTTGGGTGAATGAGATTTTTGGCCGGAAGGGGGCAAATACCCGGTCGTGGGCCAAAATACCCGACCGGGTATTTTTGGTCCACGATCGGGCCCCCCTCTGTTTCTCGGGATGAAAAAGGAAAAAACCCACGACCTTGTCCCAAAAATACCCGACCGGGTATTTTTGGTTCACGGCCGGGGATTTCTCAAGATGGAACGCAGCGTTTCAAAACCCCCCGACCCTGACCCAAAAATACCTGGTCGGGTATTTTTGGCTCAAGGCCGGGGATTTCCTTTCACTCGACACGCCGCGTTTTGGAACCCCCGGTCGTGGAATCAAAAAACCCGACCGGGGATTTTTTCTATTTATAGCAAACCCCGGTCAGTTTCTCTCTACCCTTTTTTTTCAAAATTTTCTCCTCTCTCTTCCTGCCAAATCCTCTCCCTCTCTCTTCTTGAGCGCCGCCGGCAGCCGCGCTCCGCCGCCCCTGCCGCCGCGCTCCGCCGCCGCCGGTCGTTTTCCGGCCATTTTCTGGCGAGCCTCCCGGGTCATTTTTGGCCTCCGTCTCGCGTCCCTCACCCGTTTTTTGAGCCTTAGCTACAGTTCTACTTGCGTTTTCAGGTGTGTTTCTTGTTAACTGCTCTTTCCTGGAAAATCGAACTGTAGATTGTAGGACCGAGAACTGTATTTGCGTGCATGATTTAGAATAGGGTGAGGGATGCTTTGAGTATGCATGGTTCTATCTATGGTGTATGTGCTGCCCGTGTAATTAATGTGGTTGGTTCTGTGGTTCTTGCCTTGATTCCGGTTGAGTTGCTTGCGATTCAACCGTCTGTGCTTAAAACTGTTAGCCTAGGTGATCCTTAGGTGTAGGGGAAGTAATGAACCGATACTGGTTGTCCTGACAAGTTTTTCTTGGCTCCACCTTTGGTTTGCTAATTTTGCAAGAACATGTCACTAGACCATCCATTTGTGCAGGACCTGCGCCTGCACCGGGATTACGCGGACCAGTTCCGCAAGGTCACCCGGGGGAAACTGGAGTGCCACTACCATCTGGAGTGGGCAGTTTTTGAGCATCTCCACTGCATACAAGAGCTCTCCTCCGCCATCAGCCACCGGGATCGGCAGACTTTGCTGACGATCGAGGAGCCCACCTACACCGAGCTGGTGTGGGAGTTCTACACCACGTTTCAGTACCGCCCCAAGGCGGCCCGGGACTCCTACGCGGTCACTTTCAGGCTGGGAGGTCGCCAGCGGCAGCTGACAATAGATGGCATGGCCTACGCCATGGGGATCCAGTATCACCCATCCTCCCGCCACGAGGTCGAGGTCCCGCCACGAGGACGACTGGAACATGGATGAGTTCTACTCGCGGAATGCCCGGCGCGGCTATGCATTCGACTACTTCAACGCTGGCCAGACATCTGTTCACACCCTGAAGCCGCAGTGGCACATTCTGAACTTGCTCATCACCCGATCCGTCGTCCCCAACGTCACTAGCTACCACAAGATCCCGAAGCGGGTACTGTACGCCATGTACTCGATGGGGGACCCGGATCACATGCTGCATTTGGGTTCCTTCGTGGCTACCACCTTCTCTCAATGCCACGGGAACCCAACCATCTCTTTTGTGGTCCCCTGATCACCCGCTTGGCGCGCCATTTCGACATCAATTTCGATGACCTCACCGAGTCTACTGTCCGAGGCGGCTCCTCCCCCCTCAGCCAGGACGTGCTTCACAATGCACTCCTGCTGGCCACTAACGACACCCGTTCCTAGGTGGATGGGCTCTCCCTGCCCCCTGAGGAGGATGCGGACCTCGATGAGGACGAGGAGGATGCTGATTACACCGATGAGGAGGATGATGATGATGATGATGATGATGGCGGGGCCATGGATGCTGATGAGCCGGAACCCCCACTCTCTCCCCCAGGGGAACTCTGGCCACGACGGAGACCAAAGAGAGGTGAGTCTTCCTCCGGTCCTTCTGGTCCGTCGATGGCTTCTGGCCCGTCGATGGACTTCTTCACGGAGCAGTTCCAGCAGATGTGGCTCCAGTTCCAGCAGCTCGGTCTTCAGAACCAGCAGCTCATGGACCATCAGGTCCAGTTCTACCAGCAGTATTCGGCCCACCAGGCCGAGTACCAGTCCAGGCTGACGGGTGTTGACGAGCGCCTCAGCCGCTTAGAGACCCATATGGGAGTCACGGGTGCTCTCATCGAGCGGGAGAGAGAACGAGGCCGCCGATTGATGGAGTACTCGGAGCACCTGCTCCAGGCTTGTCACCCACCAGAGGAGCACCACTGGACCACCCGGTGGGATCATTCACCACCACCACCACCGGCAGATGGGGACGACGACCTCATGAACCAGATCGACTTCACCGGTCTAGGAGGCCCCTAGTGGCATGTTTTGAGTGTTTTTGTTTTTGTCAGCGTCAAACTGTCTTGTGTCGGTTTAGTTTCTCTCTTTTTATTTTGGATGCTGTACTATTGGGCTGACCATTGGACCTAACGTATTGTGTTTGAGCTCTTTGGTTTCCTTTAGCTGTGCTTGTTCTTGACTGGTCCTCTCTCCAGTCCGCTTCACTCCGACTGGTCCGCTTCCAGTCTCCTGTAGTCCGTGCACACCGGTAAAATTGTTCCCCTTTTCCTTCCCTCTTCTCCATTGAGGGCAATGTCGAACTTAAGTGTGGGGGGGATGTTTATCTTTTGACTGCGTTCGATCTGTTTGTGTGCTTGGAGCCTAGTCCACTGTCCAAATTTTTAAATTTGAGGGCTCCAAGTACGTGTTCCTTGCAATTGCCTGCTCAGTATGCTTTGAATTGACAGTCTCTTTAGTAATGTGCAACCTAGGGAGGTAGTGTAGCACTATGGAGGATGTTGATGCATTTAAGAAGTCTCCTTTCTTTTTCATATTGTGTTGGTTGATTGTGTTAATTAGTGATCTTAGGACCCTTGAATTAGTGATCTTAAGAAGTCTCCTTTCTTTTTCATCTTAAGAAGTCTCCTTCCCAATTTCCACCTACTACCTCCAGCCCCCTTACATTTCTTTCCCCCGCACGAGGCTCGAGACATCCGCTCCTGGCATGGCCGGTAAGAGCCGGGCTCCCGCAAAACCTTTGCTAGGTGGGAGCCCCCATTTTTTGAAAAAACAGGTTGGAATCCTTGAAAATAAGAAATAAAAAGGAAAAAAAAAAACAGAAAAACAAGAAAAAAATGGGTTCCAACCATCTTCAAGAAGAAAATAAAGCACCTTAAAAATGCGAGTCCATGATTTTTTGTTTTTGAGAGTCCATTCGTCCACGATTCATTTGTCCTCTGATCACTATTTGCCATGATGCCGACTCGAGACTAGCGCTCTCGCCGAAGAAGCTATGAGATGACTTGTGCGTCGGTTGACCTCGTAAGTTGCTAAATGATCTAGGAAATCCTCTACCTATGATCGGGGTTGTTGGTTGCTATAGAGGTCTGGAGAGTTGAATTGGTTTGAGTTAGGTTTGCTTGGGGACAAGCAAACGGTTAAGTGTGGGGGAGTTTGATAGACCAATAATTACACTAGTTTTTACCCCTATTCTTGAGCCGTTTGAGAGGTTGATTCTCGTGTTTTAAGCCGATTTCACGCGAGCTAGTGCGTTTATGTCATATTTCAGGGCCCGGCGTTGCAATCGAGGCGAAGAAACGAGTTTTGGGTCGAAAGGAGCGAAGTTGGGTCGAAGTGTGCTGCAGGAGGAAAATGCCCGGTCATGGGCTAAAATACCCGACCGGGTGTTTATCGTTTTGGGTGTCGCCGAGAAACAGAAGAGGTCCCGGTCGTGAAGCATAAATCCCCAGTCGGGGATTCATAGAGAAGACCGGGGATTTTTCTCTTCTCTTAAACGCGCGTTTCAATTATACCCGGTCGAAACCCAAAATACTCGACCGGGTATTTCGACCGGGTATCGCGACAGTCAAGTTTTTAAAGGAAAAGAAGGATGAAAATCAAGGGTTCCGAGTTTTAGAGAGACAGAGCGATTCCTAGAGAGAGAAAGGGACGAACAAGAGTTCCCAAGTGCCATAGCTTGATCTTCATCACCATTGGAGCCCGGCTTGAGCTTGGAGAAGTGCCGATCGACGACCAGGAGCTAAAATCCATCCTTCACAGTATGGTTTCCGCATTTGAATCTGCTTTTGCTTCTTTCTCCATGGAGTAGTTTTCCCATTCATCTGGGTATGGAGAACCCTAGATTTGTATGTTTGGTCTGATTGTATGAACCCAAGTACAGATTTTATGATTTGATTATATTCAATTGAGGCTTGAATGATTGAATGACTTGAATCCTGATCAAATTCCTGTTATTTCTGCTTTAGCTTAGAATGAGAATATCTGCCTAGGTTAATAGAGCTCCCTTAATTGAAGGTAGTGAATTGGCGACTTTAGTCGAGGAGCCAATTCACTATTATGTACCGAATTTGCTTCGGTAGTGGAGGTTTGGTTCGTTAGGGCCTCAATCTGTTTACTCCGGTGGAGGTTAGTCGCCCGCTGGAGACTCAGATTGAGAGGGTCTGGAGACCTTTAGTCGAGACTTCAGACTGTTTAAGAACCTTCCGCAGTATAACTATCATAGAAACTGAACTTGGTAATTGCAATCCGGCTTAACTGCAGTCTAGGGGGAACCATATCCGGTGACCTCTCTCGACTTGAAACAACCGTTTAACTTGCTTTGTGTTTTTGTTTGTTTAAACCTGCACTTAAGTTTTACCGCTAGATAATAAAAATTCACTGAGTAGTCATCACATCTAGGACCCGGGTTGACATTAAAACCCAAACCCGTTATACTACGCTTTAGGAAGTGGTTGCACTTGGCCATTTTCTAGAGTGACAGTAGGAGCCTAGTCAACCCTCCTCCGGTATGTTTTCGGCCGATTTTTGCCTTCCTCACCGTCTCCTCTCCTCATCTCCCTACCCTTCCTACTTGAGTCTCCAGGTTTTTTTTCAGCTCTACCTTGATTATTTTGGGAAGAATCGGATTAGGTAGTGAAGTGAAGAGAACTTTAGTGATTTGAATGTTGAACTTAGCATTAGGGCGAGGAATTAGGTTAATTAGGGTGATTGGATGATTGAATGATGTTGCTTGAGCTTAGTTGAGCCTTGGTGGGCATGTTTTGATTCAAATTGCTTTTATTTGTGAAATTTGCCCACCAAGTGCTATTTTGTGAATGAATGTGAAATGTTTGTCTTGAGTGGTGGTTGGTAGCCACCATGGCATGGTTAGGATATAATTTTTTGTGTGGATAATCCGTGAACACTTAGATCCATCCCTCGGTGTGCTTGTGCTTAGTTGTTTCGAATAGCCTGAACCCATAGTGGAAACATAAGTGTGGGGGTGATTCCATTTTCCTCCCAATGAGTTGAGATTGACAATTATTTCCATGTATGGTGCATGTTTGTTGGTTTTGCAGGATGCTTAACGTGGAGCACGAGTACATCAGCTACTTGGTGAACCACGCACGGTTCGAGACCAAGCTTGCATACCAGAGGCATAGCCCGATTGGGCAAAATTGGCAGCTAGATCTGGACATGTTTAACTAGTTTAGGTGCCGAGCCGCGATGTCAGTGGTCGCATGTCACCCCCAGTGGAGCCAACTGCTGTCTTTGGACGAGCTCATCTACCACAATGTTGTCTCGACCAGCAAGAAGAATGGACCCTACGTGGAGTTTATGCTGGGAGGTCAGCCACGGGTGCTGACTTATGATGCCTTCGCCCATGCCATGGGGATCGACACGACATACATGACAATGACAGAGCGGCAGTACACCGTCGACTTCCACTACCAGGCCGCTTTCCAGGCCCTTTGTCACTCCGAGCACGAGCAGGACGAGTTCGAGGCTGGCTGCACCAATGCGATGAAGCTGAGGACTCCGTGGAGGATCATGCACACGCTGCTCACCCGATCCTTCGTGCCCAGCTTGCAGTCGGGCCACTTGATCACGAACAAAGTTCTGCTTGCTCTCTTTTCTATGAGGCATCCTGCAGAGCCGATCCACCTGGGATCGCTGATTGCCACCTCTTTCGCCCAGTGTATTAGGCGGAATAGGGTGGACACCATGAACATGGGGTGCATCATCACGATGGTATCCCAACACTTTCATGTGGATATGAAGCGGTGCTCCATCGTTGGCTGGACATAGCCCTTCCTAGTGGCGACTCTCTACAACCAAAAGCTAGTGCTTCAGGGAGAACGCAGGATCGAGTACCTCAAAAGACTTCGACCCTCAGGAGTCATGAGGCTGGCAGTTGACCCGGCTTCAATGGAGCCCGATGCAGATGTCTCACCTCCAGAGCAGCCACCTGCTCGTTCCTGGCTGCCGCAGCGTCCCGCGCTCTAGCTCCCTGCACCACCTCCACCACCATCAGGTGCCGGTCCTTCCACTTCAGGTGTACCCCTCATGGAGAGGATGGACCGTCTTGAGACCCATGTCGTGGGCGTCACTTCCTGGCTTGACCAGAAGACCGACCTGCTTGAGCGGATCGCTCGTCGCTAGGGCCTCATTCCAGTTGATTAGCCGAGGCCTTCGACTCATTGAGAGATAGCCGACGAGTGAGGCATGTGGCAGAGCTGATTCCTTTCGCCCCACTTCCGCACTTGGAACTCTGAACTCTTTTGTTTTATTTTTCATTCTTTTATTTAGTATGTGTGAACAACTACTACTATCGTATTGTTTTGTGTAATAACCTCACCTTGCGAGTATGTGTTGTGTTTGTGTGTGTGTTTTTGTCTTATCCTTGAAGCTAAACTCTCCTACCCCGGAAATATTCCAACTTTCAATCAACAAGCCAAGCGGTAACTTCGTTCTACCCTTATCTCATGCCATTGAGGGCAATGTCGAACTTAATGCATATCTCAGCCATCATCATAGGTTGTTCACATTCATCAATGTTAATAGCCAAGAAATTCAAAACAAATCACCAAAAGTGCCACTATGATCAGGCAAATGTAGAAGTTGATATGCTGGTAGTCGAGATGTTACCTCTCATTCATCATCATAGGTGATAACGATGTAATTGCACATATTTGTGCCCCTAGTTCTGATCCGTTTGAGGGGCATAGTCGTGTATTGTGGCCAATTTTACGCCGGGTTGTGCTATTTTGTCATATTTCAGGTCCCAGGCGTCAAAGGAAAGGCTAAGCACGAGTTTCGGGGCATTCGGAAGTCATTTCGGTGAGCTGGAGCCAAAACACGGGCACACCTAAAACAGAACACAGCCGTGTTCTCGTGGCCGTGCTTTTTATGCCGAGAGCTGAGCTGATTACACGGGCAGGGCCAAAACAAAGCATGGCCGTGTTCCACCAAAGCACGGCCGTGTTCCACCAAAGCACGGCCGTGTTTCTCCCAATGCACTGGCCCTGTAATTAACACTAGCCAAAGCACGGGCGGGCTGAGGCATTACACGGCCGTGCCCTCGACCGTGCTTTGGCCACTGATGCCTTTTTAAGCAGATTTTCAGCCAAACAGAAGGGGATTCGAGTTTTAGAGAGAGAAATCAGTTCCTAGAGAGAGAAAGCGACGAACAAGAGTCTCCAAGTGCCCTAGATTGATCTTCAACACCATTGGAGGCCAGCTTGAGCTTGGAGAAGTGCCGATCAACATCCAGAAGCAGGAATCCATCCTTCACAATATGAATTCCGCGTCTGATTCTGCTTTTGCTTCTTTCTCTATGGAGTAGTTCTCCCATTCATCTGGGTATGGAGATCCCTAGATTTGTATGTTAGGCTTTGATTGTATGAACCCAAGTACTGTTCTATGATTGATTATATTCGATTGAGGTTTTAATGATTGAATGACTTGAATCTTGATCAAATTCCTGTTGTTTCTGCTTTAACCTAGAATGAGAATATCTGCGTAGGTTAATAGAGTATCCTTGATTGAAGGTAGGGAGTTGGTGACTTTAGTCGAGGAACCAACTCACTATTCTGTACCAGATTTACTCCGGTAGTGGAGGTTTCGTTCTTAGGGCCTCAATCTGTCTACTCCGGTGGAGGTTAGTCGCCCGCTAGAGATTCAGATTGAGAGGGTCTGAAGACCTTTAGTCGAGACTTCAGGCTGTTTAAGAACCTTCCGCAGTATAACTTTCATAGAAACTGAACTTGGTAATTACAATCCGGCTTAACTGCAGTCTGGGGGGAACCATATCCGGGTGACCTCTTTAACCTGAATACAACCGTTTACCTGCTTTGTTAGTTTGTTAGTTTAGACTTGCATTCCAGTTTCATTGCTAGATAACAAGAATTCACCGAGTAGTCATCAAATCTAGGACCCGGGTTGACATATAAACCTAGCCCGCTATACTACGCTTTAGGAAGTGGTTTCACTTGGCCAATTCCTAGGGTGACTGTAGAGTCGAGTCAAGTTTTTGGCGCCGTTGCCGGGGACGGCTAGGTTGTTGAAGAAAAGTGATTTCTGTTAATTTAGCTTTTCTTTTTGCTTTGTTTGTTTTGTCCCACTTGTGCCTTCACGGGTTTGCTTGCTTGAGTGTGTGCAGGTAGTGCATGACCCGTAGCCAGTCAGGAGGTTTACTGCCGTTGAATCCAGAGATTGACAGCACCTGTGGCCAGCTCAGGAGACAACAGCGAGCTAGACTGGCTACAGAAGAGCGCATAGACGGCCACGTGAGCAGTGATTCTGAAGAAGAGCACGGGATGGACGGAGAGTACAATCAACACCAGGGGAATCCTCAGCAGGCTCCCCCGGTGAATCAGGTCCTGGGGAACAACCCCATACCCCAGGATCATGGAGTTCATCATCCACCGCAGCCGGGACTTGAATCGTTCTAACTACAACATCCCGATCGACGGCCAAGTATAACCGGCGACCGGTTACAGCATAAGGCAAGCTAGCAATAAGTATTTATCGTACCACAAGGATCTAGGCTTACCGTACTTCAGGTTTAGGGTCCGTTATCTAGCCAACCTAGAGTAGTGATTAGGAAAACTGAGCTAACTAACCTAGACTATCCACTAACCTAGCTATTTACAAGGTTTGGAGCTCTCTTGAGTTAAATCCCCCTATTTCCGACCTTTGGATCGATGTTGAGTATCCTACTAGTTCGATCGACCCACTATCCTACCGTTAGGAGATGAACTCCCTCGGGACTGACCCGAAACGGTGAAGTGATGGATGGGCAGGATCCCTATTCAACCTAGGGCACCCCTATATCGTAGGAGATCGATCCAATCGACTCCCTCGGGGATTGCCCGGACGATATGGGGTGAGGAGTTGTTTCCCTCCTAGGTCAAAAGATTGACTCAATTACTCTACCGTTAGGAGATAGACTCCCTAGGGAATGACCCGGAATGGCAAATCGATGAATGTGGTAGGCTCTATTCAACCGAAGGGAACCCTATATCATAGGAGATTGATGAAATCGATTCCCTCGGGGATTACCTGGACGATATCGGGTGAGGAGTGACCCGAAGACGCCAATAATGGGCTCTAAGGGGGTTTTCTCCCTCCTAGGTCAAAAGCTCAATACATGAAAATGGAAACCCAACTCGTGTCATTCATGAAAACATCCATCAATTAAGTAATATCATCAATCAAACATGTAATGTGCCACATACATCAACATTAAACCCAAATCTAGACCTGGGGTTCTTAAACCAAGAGAAGAGGGTGAGTTTCTAGAGAGAAAAGGGAGAAATTACAAATTGGAGCCTAAGATCTTCTTCTCCTTCTAGGCTTGAATCCTTGTCTTCAAGATCAATCCAAGCTTCCAATTAAGCTCCAAGATCACTCAAGCACTCTCCCTCTCTCTCTCTGACTCCCCTTTGGTGTTTTGGGTTGAAACCCTAGAGAAAGAAACTATTTCCTCTCCCAAAAACCAGCTCCCCCTTTCTTCCTTCTGGTGCTGCCTTTTATACCCAGATCGTAGGCTGTTCGCGGTCTGAGTTAACAACCGTGAACTCAAAGCCTGGATAGTGAACTCGAACCAATTCGCGCTATTTCACTACAGCACTTCACGGTCTTACGACCGTGAACTGACTTGGCGTGAGTAATCTCTGGAAGTGCTCTAGAACCCGCCCAATTCAAGGTCACGGGAAAATTGTCACGGTATGGTGATCTACTAAGCATAACATATAAGAAATGAGAGATAAAATGTGTACATTTAGACCCGAATCACTCCCCTACACTTGAACAAGGTAAACTTGCAACTTTTTTTTTCAACAAAATTTTTGGGGAATGTCATAGGGCACAAAATGAATGAATCACAATGGTTATTTGACACCGACCTATGGACAAAAACAAAGTAATCATGGAAACCACCACAAACGATATTCAACTGTATTAAGATTGTGCAAATGAAGAGTTCTCACATTATTCATCAACCAACACACAACATGCATCGACGACTCACCAATCACAGTCACTCATGCATGAAGATCACATCATAGGAACAACGATCGAGCAACCTAGGTCCTCACCACGGTATAAGAAATGAACAAAACATGATGAATGAATCACTCACTCTCGACCAATGGGGTCAGGACCATTTGATGCAAAGATGTGCATATTCACGCTCAATCCTAACGTCCCTTTACCATGATGGTAGCCTCTAAATGCTAGAGCTCACAAAAAGGGTGTCGTTGCTAGCTTGTCCGGAGGTCTTAGACACGGGTTCAAATGACTGGATAGGGGAAAATGATTTTTGGGTGGTGGCACGTATTTCATGAGGTTCGACAACTTCAACCTAGAACCAAAGTACAAGGTTCCTTAGCTTCGATCTAGAACCTTCCTCAATAAACAATGACCACTAACAACGACCAAAAACCACACTTCCCACACTTCCAAAACACACCAATCACCAATCCACTCACAACCATTTTTCTTTCTACATTTGCTATTCAATTTCTAAGCACAAGAGTGAGGAGGTAAACAATCATGTAAGTGTTCCTATCGCTTGCATGCTAAGAAACACTTCTAAGAGCATATCCCACATTTATTATATTTTTGGTGGCCACTCTCTTTTCTTCTTTACCCTTTAATGATTTATTTCTGTTTTCTTTCTTTTCTTTTCTTTTCTCTTTTCTTTGAGGGCTATAAAGAGCTATCTATACATGCCACATTTTTCAACTTAAGGAACAATGCTCGCTTTGAAAAACTACTTCCAACATGCAATTTTTCAGTCTTAGCAAAACTATACACATATCACTCATGTGGAACCTCATTTAAGCTCAAATGGTACAAATGGAGCTTCCAAACACAAGGGTGACTCGATAGTGGTGTACACTTTGGGCATTTTTTCACTTTTTTGCATTTTTCGACCTCCAATCGACCTGAAACTCGTCCTCGAGCTTCCCACACATACTAGGACCTAAAATGTAGCAAAACAAACAAAACCTAGCGTAAAATAGGTCAAGGGATGGTGATCTACTAAGCATAACATATAAGAAATTAGGGGTAAAATGTGTACATTTGGACCTGAATCAATCAACCATCGTGCAAAAATATCAAAGAACATGCACCATACATAGAAACATTGTCAAACAAAACACCATGGGGAGAAAACTAGATCCCCCACATTTGAATTCTGGCATATGCAACATGCCTCCATAGGTTTTTTCACAAGGCTGGATGGCCATCATTCAAGCTTAAACACTCACAAATCACATCGAGGCATGAAATTAGGTGTTTCATAGATCATATAGGTTCAAATTTCAAACCTAGATCATGCCTCGATGACCACCAACCATTATGCACAAAGGTGAATCAAATCATTCATTCACAGACTACACTTGGTGGGCATTCTTCAATTCACATAACAAATCATGCCAAATCTTGCTCACCAAGGCTCAATTAACTTAAAAGTCACTTCATGCATCATTCAATTATCCTAGTTCGACTAACTCCTCTCCAAATTTCAACATTCATGCGAAAATTCCCAATTCTCCCCACCTTAGAAATCGAAATCCAATTCTCCAAAATTAACTAAGGAGGAGGCTAAAACACACCTAGTAGGTGAGGAGATGGAGAGGGAGTCGAAAATCGCCCGAAAAACTGACCGAAGAGGCTCGCCAGAGCTTCGCCTGAAGCTCGCCAAAAACTCATGTTACCGAAAAATCGGATCCCAAATCGCTCCAAAACTTCGGTGAATGGGCTCCTAACCAAGAGGGTTAGGGGTATATGGTTGGTTTCAAGTTTTGGTTACCGCAAGTTGATCAACTCGACAAAAAATGACGGAGAGCGACGTTTTTCGGTGAGAGTTGCAGAGGATTCCAACGAGGGTTGCGCGTGAAGAGGGGAAGAACACCCCCCCCCCCCCTTTATAATGCTCGATACGTGTGGGGGCATATTTTCACTGTCTCCAGACTGTGATAGTAACCTGTCACTCGTGATATCGTCCCAAAACAGGGAGTACTGGGCCGACTTCACGTGCTGTAAAAGTCACGGGCGATAGCCCTTTGATAATTACTCTTTGACCGTGGAGATTTCAAAATGCAGCGTTTCCTGCCATCATCATGACCTGGCTGCAATTGTCACTGTCTTCTGATCGTGATAATTGAACAGAAACCGTGCATGTGCAAAAACAGGGCGTTTTGACAATTTTCCACTCCTTTAAACATTCAATAACATAACCCTGGCACGGTCATCATTCAAAACTCTTCCACTTGACTCAAACACACGCACAAAAAGAGAAAAATAGTGATAAGAAATACGAACCGACGTTGGGTTGCCTCCCAACAAGCACTACTTTTACGTCATAAGCTAGAAGGTTGATCCATAAGCTTCATTCCATCCTATAGCCTTCTTGAAGTTAAGGCTCTCATCGTTTAAGTGGGCCCTCAAGTCATGAGCGTACAGAATTGTATTTAACGATGACTCATGCACTTGAGTGATTCGAAGCCCCCACCCTTGAGACCTCTCCTTCATCATTCTTCTCTTTGCCCTATACCATGTAGGAAATCATGGATTGAACACCATCAAATCCACCAAGAGGGATCGATGCAGGTTTGGCCTTGGCTTGGCAAAGAGTTGCAAATGGTTCCTTTTTCAAAAGTGCATCGAGGTCGGGTGGAGAGCTTCTGTAGCACTTGTAACTTGTTGAAGCTTCATCTTCCACGACCTCGTCCTTATCTTGGACCTCACTTGCATCTTTAACTTCAACTTCAACCTCCCTTCTTTTTTCAAAATTTGATTCCTCCCTTTGAGAACAATCAAGATATTCCACTTCCTCAACAATCACTTCCTCCATTTCAACCTCTTCCTTCTCATTCCCAGCCTTGTCTTCAAAGTTGTTTTCGGGAACGAGAAAGTTATGAGAGGTGCCAATGAGACACTCTTAATCGTTATCACCACGGAAGCTCTCCGGGGTGAGTTATTCTTGCCCTAGATAGTATGCATTTATCGCCCTTTCGACCTCCACTCCTTTTTACAATGACAAGAGACGATGGCATGCGTGCAAGCTCGCACAACCTTCTCTTCAACTTTCAAATCAAGTGGAGGGAGGGGTTGGATATCCATGCCAGAGCTTGTTCTTTCAAAGTATTCATGGCTTTCCTCTTCGACTTTCTTAGCTTCTTCCAATGGTAGGAGACGATTATGAGCAAGTTGTGCACATGCATGCTCAACAAAATGTACCACCTCATATCACCATGGTATATGGGTTGTAACTGGTGGTAAACAATAATGAACATGGTAAATGCAAGTTCCCATATGCCTACTATCCTGTATTCAACCATCCTACACTAAGATATTGTTCATACCACCATGGCACACTTCCGTACCACGTGGTATGATCTTATGTAATACCAAGCATTACCACCATGGTATAGACTGGTACTAGGGATGGCTATGGGGGTGGATTTTCCTAAGCCATCCTCATTCCCTCTTTCAAATATTCAAACTTGTACATGCCTCATACCTTATGAGGGAGAAGCTTTTGCCAACCCATCCCTATACCCATGGGTTTCGGGTACCCATGGGTAATATCCGTCTCGTACATCCAACATCATTATACCTGAGACTTGACATGTAAATTTCAACTATAACGCTAAACAGACCTACTATATCATTAAGTCAACAAAGGTACAATTATTCTTACTATAATTAAGTACAATAATTCTTACTATAGTTCAAAACATATGATCCTAAAACATCTATTAATCAATAAGATATCACATAAAATTTTCAAATCATTAGTTTCTAATTCTGATACATCTACTAAGTAATATTTAACTAACATAACTATCTTCTTAAGAAGAGGGAAAAGTCAATGAATGAAGAGAGAATTGACGTAAAGTAATTAGATTTGGATTTGGGTGGCCACTCAATTCCATTTCTACTATATATTGTCTTTAGTTACCTTCATTGTCATTTATAAGTTTCAATTTGATCAATGTATTTTTTTTTTATATGTGAAGATATATTCTTGGTGGGGCGGTTATGGGTATGGGGCGGGGAGGCTAAATCCATACCCGCCCCATACCCATAAAACCTTTTGCAGGTTTCACCCATACCCGCCCCCATACCCAGTTAATGCAAGGATTTCCCACGTTGACTGGGTCAGGGAGGTCGGGTACCCGCGGTTATTGGTTTGATTGCCATCTTTAACTGTTAGTAAATGTCTCAAATTTTTTTATTCCAAAAATATATCAAAGTGCGTATCATTTTTAAGAACACAATTAATTTGATTTATCTTTGCAAAAAATTTACATTACGATTTAAAACGATGATATATATTTTGTTTTATAGGATAAAATGTTAGAGGTCTTCAATAAATAGTGTTGTGGCAGGTTATGCATGATCATAAGATTACTTGCTAAAATCAATCACAATCACAATCGCTAAATAATATCGGTATGTCAATCCTAATCCCTAAATATTTCAGTAGCACCATCGGTACTTCGGTATCCCAATCAGTATTATCGAATACAAAATTAATTACCTTTGCAATTAATAATTAAATATATAAATTAGATTTGATTGTTTTATTTAGGGCACAAAGACTAAGCAAAGAGTCTTGAGTTTGCCTAGAGCTAGGATATGGATAAAGAGAATGGAGAAGAGGTGACATCTCAAATGTTTGTCATTGGTAATCTTTAATTTAATGAATTGGAGACTATGAGAGACGAATAATACTAGTGCTTGCTTTTTGGTGTTATTAAAATAACAAGAGATTAGCTGAGAGACGAGAGTGACTTAAACTCGAAAGTCAAAATTGAGTTTGATGGGAGATTCTAAGTTGCGACCAGTGAGGAATGATAATGTTGTGTGCTATATTTTATTAATTTTTTTTCAGTATTTTTTTGTATTTCAGTATATACCGATCCCAATCCCGTAATCCCGAATTCCAAATAGCACTCCAATATAAATTTCAATCTCAATACCTAAAAAATAAGTTGATATTGGATAATATTAAATAATGATAAATTTCGTACGGTATTCGATAAATCCCAAATACCGTGTCAAACTTTCAGCCCTATACATAACACAAGAAATCCACTGAGGAACAT